CCATTTTCTATGATAAACGTCAGGTTCCCCATTCTCTAGAAAAAAAGTCTATGGGAATTTCACTCCCATTTTCAGGGGTCAATATATATATTTTATTTTTATCACACTGGCCGATTCCAACCAAGGCAGGGTGGCCCAAAAAAGAAAAACTCACCATCATTCACTCCATCACTTTCTTGCCAGAAGGGTGCTTTACACTACAGTTTTTAAACTGCAACATTAACACCCCTCCTTCACAGTGCAGGCACTGCACTTCCCATCTCCAGGACTCAAGTCCGGCCTGCCGGTTTCCCTGAACCCCTTCATAAATGTTACTTTGCTCACACTCCAACAGCACGTCAAGTATTAAAAACCATTTGTCTCCATTCACTCCTATCAAACACGCTCACACATGCCTGCTGGAAGTCCAAGCCCCTCACACACAAAACCTCCTTTAACCCCTCTCTCCAACCTTTCCTAGGCCGACCCCTACCCCGCCTTCCTTCCACTACAGACTGATACACTCTTGAAGTCATTCTGTTTCGCTCCATTCTCTCTACATGTCCAAACCACCTCAACAAACCCTTCCTCAGCCCTCTGGACAACAGTTTTGGTAATCCCGCACCTCCTCCTAACTTCCAAACTACGAATTCTCTGCATTATATTCACACCACACATTCCCCTCAGACATGACATCTCCACTGCCTCCAGCCTTCTCCTCGCTGCAACATTCATCACCCATGCTTCACACCCATATAAGAGCGTTGGTAAAACTATACTCTCATACATTCCCCTCTTTGCCTCCAAGGACAAAGTTCTTTGTCTCCACAGACTCCTAAGTGCACCACTCACTCTTTTTCCCCTCATCAATTCTATGATTCACCTCATCTTTCATAGACCCATCTGCTGACACGTCCACTCCCAAATATCTGAATACATTCACCTCCTCCATACTCTCTCCCTCCAATCTGATATTCAATCTTTCATCACCTAATCTTTTTGTTATACTCATAACCTTACTCTTTCCCGTATTCACCTTTAATTTTCTTCTTTTGCACACCCTACCAAACTCATCCACCAATCTCTGCAACTTCTCTTCAGAATCTCCCAAGAGCACAGCGTCATCAGCAAAGAGCAGCTGTGACAACTCCCACTTTGTGTGTGATTCCTTATCCTTTAACTCCACGCCTCTTGCCAAGACCCTCGCATTCACTTCTCTTACAACCCCATCTATAAATATATTAAACCACGGCGACATCACACATCCCTGTCTAAGGCCTACTTTTACTGGGAAATAATTTCCCTCTCTCCTACATACTCTAACTTGAGCCTCACTATCCTCGTAAAAACTCTTCACTGCTTTCAGTAATCTACCTCCTACACCATACACTTGCAACATCTCCCACATTGCCCCCCTATCCACCCTGTCATACGCCTTTTCCAAATCCATAAATGCCACAAAGACCTCTTTAGCCTTATCTAAATACTGTTCACTTATATGTTTCACTGTAAACACCTGGTCCACACACCCCCCACCTTTCCTAAAGCCTCCTTGTTCATCTGCTATCCTATTCTCCGTCTTACTCTTAATTCTTTCAATAATAACTCTACCATACACTTTACCAGGTATACTCAGCAGACTTATCCCCCTATAATTTTTGCACTCTCTTTTATCCCCTTTGCCTTTATACATAGGAACTATGCATGCTCTCTGCCAATCCCTAGGCACCTTACCCTCTTCCATACATTTATTAAATAATTGCACCAACCACTCCAAAACTATATCCCCACCTGCTTTTAACATTTCTATCTTTATCCCATCAATCCCGGCTGCCTTACCCCCTTTCATTTTACCTACTGCCTCACGAACTCCCCCCCCACTCACAACTGGCTCTTCCTCACTCCTACAAGATGTTATTCCTCCTTGTCCTATACACGAAATCACAGCTTCCCTATCTTCATCAACATTTAACAATTCCTCAAAATATTCCCTCCATCTTCCCAATACCTCTAACTCTCCATTTAATAACTCTCCTCTCCTATTTTTAACTGACAAATCCATTTGTTCTCTAGGCTTTCTTAACTTGTTAATCTCACTCCAAACGTTCTCTTATTTTCAACAAAATTTGTTGATAACATCTCACCCACTCTTTCATTTGCTCTCTTTTTACATTGCTTCACCACTCTCTTAACCTCTCTCTTTTTCTCCATATACTCTTCCCTCCTTGCATCACTTCTAGTTTGTAAAAACTTCTCATATGCTAACTTTTTCTCCTTTACTACTCTCTTTACATCATCATTCCACCAATCGCTCCTCTTCCCTCCCGCACCCACTTTCCTGTAACTGCGTCTGGTGTAAACCTGAGCTGCGCTACTCTGAAAAAGCTTCCCCTCAATCCTTCAATTGCTGCCTCACAACATTGCATAGCTCCTGATGATGCACTGATCAGTGTGAAAGTACTTGAGCTAAAGATTTCCAAGTCGGCCGTCTCCCACCAAGGCAGGGTGACCTAAAAAGAAAATCCCCAAAAAAGAAAATACATTAATCATTCAACACTTTCACCTCACACACAATCACTGTCTTTGCAGAGGCGCTCAGATACGACAGTCTAGAAGTCCCTCCAAGGTGTCAATATCCTAAACCCCTCCTTTGAAGTGCAGGCACTGTACTTACCAATTCCAGAACTCTTAAGTCTGGCTAACTGGTATTCTGTAAATTCCTTCACTGAATATTATCCTGCTCACACTCCAACAGCTCATCAGGTCCCAAAAACCATTCACTCCTATCTACATACCAGTAGTAGTAAAATATTGGAATTTCACAAAGGCAGTGCGAAGAAGGGTGCGGAAGGTGAGGATGTGAAGCAGAAGGGGTGGACTGGTGTCCATCAAATGTGCTGTCTCCTCGATAAATGCAGAGATGGCTTCAATAGTTTCAGACAAGACAGAATTATTATAATCATGGGGAAGTGCTAAACCCACAGGATTATGCAGCAGACAAGACAGAAGGTGGAGGGAGCATGGCGGTGGAAGATGTAGTTTGGGTTAAAAACAGAGACACATGGAAGACACCAAAGAAGAGGTAGAGGTGCCCTGGCAGGAAGAAATTTCTGGAGGGATGGGCGAGGGAGCAACTATCTCGGGGTAAAGGACTAGACTCAGAGATAGGGAAAGAATAATGTTCGGAAATGTCATGTGGTTTGAAGGAGATAGACAAACTAAGTTGTAGACTTTGGAGAAGGGATATGTGGTGTTGCTTTAGATAGAAGGGGGAGTGTAGATGTTGAAATATGTGAGTGGGGAGGTGAAGTAGGGAAAGTAAGAGATGAGGAGGTTGGAACCTCAGAGACAAAGATAACCACAAAAGGGTTGGACACAGAGGCGACTGTGGAAGGGATACCGAGGCAATTGTAGAAGCAGACACCACCGAGGTCTGGGGGGCAGTCTAGTGAACCTGGAATAAGAGCCGTGGGAGTCTCCCTGGAAGGCGGAGATGGGAAACTGCCATGGCATAAGAGAAGCCCTTTTTGTCTTAAGATAACTGATCTTCTTTTCTCTTAGCAAAATCGGGCAATGGCGAGAATAGGCAGAATGCTCCTCTTTGCAGTAAAGGCAAGAGGCAGGGTGGACTGCTATGCCAGAGACCAGGCATCCTGCCACAAACCTACAATGTTTTGCAGGGTGGCCAAAGTGCCAGCATTTTCTACATTCCTGCAATTGTAGGTGTTGTCCCATTACATAAACAGATGGAGGCAGGTCAATGCTGTCAAAAATTAGCCTCACTATACTGCAAGGATAACACCTCTGCCCACAGGCAGGGAGTATGTATGTATCAGCTTTAATGATCGTGAGATTCTGGAGCTCTAGTTGCTCCAGAATGTCTTCATTACATGCGAGAAAGTCGTATTGTATGATCGTATGTGGAAGGATGATACATCCACAGCAAGAAGGAAAATGTGCTTGCAAATCTTAACTGCACCTACTCTGCACTTTGTACTGTGACAATGCATGTGCCACTCTTAAGAACATGCAAGGAAATGCTGTGGTTTGAAAGATAGTGGAAGTTGGTTTGAGAGTAAAGAATTTTGCCCAAGAACGACTCTGAAACGTAGAGAGTAAGGGAAGGAATTGCTTAGTTGAACATTTCTTAGAAGTGTGAGGTAGGGTCATCAGTGACAGGTCGAGGTAATTTGGATGGAAGGTTAGAGGCAGGCTGTCCCGAGTTGTGTACGATCTGAAAAATAACACACTATGTGGAGAAGCTGGGATCCAAGTCATGTGGAGGTCAGAAATGTTTAATGAGTTGGTCAGAACTGCAGTACCAGAGGAGGGTAACAAAATGTTACTCTGAGACAGTACTGGGTTAGAAGAGAGGTCTGCAGGCATGCCAGGGTTTGTAGGGGGTGCTGCAGGAAAGGGTCCAGAAGGTCATGGGTATGGGTCTCCATAAGTTTCCTTTATAAAAAAAAAAATGGAGGGGGAAGAATGTAGAGGTAACGCCCAGGAGGAATGAAAGCGATTGTGTATACCAGTGCAGATGCTGCATGGAATGTGTGCCTAAACCAGAAATCCAGGATAGCAACCTCGCATCTACTGAGCCACCTTGGTCAAAAGCCTCATTATTACTGTTATTATAATCAAAGAGAAGCACTAAACCTACAAGGGTCATACAGTGGCCAAAAGCCTCTTTGCCACTACAAGGAGCCCCCTTGAAGAGGTATTTCACCACAGCTCACCTATTTTGATACAGGGTTTCTACATGTTGCCTCAAGTTATGGCTTTCAAGGCTCTTGTGTTAGACTACTGTATATTGCAGTGGGTCTTTACTGTGCTCTCCCAGCAAGTCATTCAGCACTATGGAATCAGAGACCTAGCCAGAGTGATCTATGGTGTCTAGTCACAACCACCCACCATAAAAAAATTGCAAATAGTCATAGAATTGACATAGCCTATTAAAAAGCCACTGCAATTTCCCCAGTAATGACTAAACAAATGAAATAAGAATAACTCATAAGAAAACAATATACACATTGTTTTATTCATAAATATCTATGTAATATACAAGATGATAAATTTTATTATAATGCAAATTAATTGAATTTCCTTATTTTTTAAAATGTCAATGTATTGTAATGGTCTTTAATTTTTTTATTAAGTAAATCAACAGGAGCACTGGACAGTAATGGGTGGTTTCCTCCAGTTACTTGACTGAACTTGGTACAATTATGAAACCAAAAATTATTTACTGTTTTTAGGATGTCTTAATGTACAATATGTCAACAAATTTCTAGTGTACCAACGTCAACCAACTTTTGGAATTAAAATCCCAGAAGAAGTACATTTTAAAATCAATTAACAGTAAATGGAAAATACAAAATGACTATAATGCAACTTACTAAAAGAAACCTGCTTAAGCACACTGTCAAGATATAGTTACTGTATAAATATTAAAATTTAAAAAGCAGCATTTTTTAAAATAGAATGTGAAGCTGTATATTATACAATTTTTATTCTTGCATTTTGAATTTCGCAAACCAGCAGCATTATGGCAAACACTGTACCTATACACAATCCAAGGTTAACTTAATACTTATAATTTAATATTCCTGGCGAGTCCTGAAACTCAACATTACACAACAATTTTATGAAATGCTACTCGAGTCCAAATAGCCATTCTATACTTCACTGATCATGTAAAATATTCTGGTAAAAAAAAAAAAATCTTTTTGTCAAAGTTCCTCAAAGATACTTCCCTCAACACAATCTTGTGTAGCAAGAAATAATCACACCAAAAATCACTTTGTATACTGTATTATACACACACACACACAGACAATTATACAAAAAACTTCCTTACAGCACATATTACCAACCCTATAAAATGGCACAACTAAACTGTACATTCACATACACTGTGTACAATGAACCATCTGACACTAGGGCTATACCAGCAGCTTTCAATATAGAAGCTGTAAAAACTTTCATGCAATGGCAATAAAACTCATTTTCTTTGTAAACATATAGTCCCAAACAAAATTTATGCTCTTAAAAGCAGTAGGGTTGCAAAATGTATGAATTATTCTTTCAAGCACTTTAAATTCCAAATCTGAGTAGGATATTTTCTCATACCTTCATGGTGAAAATTTTAATTTGTTATTTTAAGGAATTTACCTGCCTTGCAGTAATTTACTAGAAGACAGTTTGGATAAAATTTCCTCACTAATCTTTGCTAGCCTCCCTCCAATTAGATGAACAATTAACAAAGCATCACAAATAGATTGTTGTACTTATTATACTTAAGTCTATCTTTATACTTTGTCATTTTCTTATTTACAAATATAAATCTTAAATAGGCCTCATGTGTATTAGAAAAAATACAAAATTTTAGTCTTCCACATTTCTTAAAAAATTTGTATCAACAAAATTATTTTCTTGAGATGTAAATATATATTGTTCAACTCACACAACCTGTACACCTTATCCTCTTTGCTAAATTCTTTCTACATATTTCCCTTTCATTAGTAGATTATGAGTTAATCCCATAATGAAAAAAAAGCATAAGAAAAAGATGTTCTTAACTTCATACCCCAGGTTGAATCATGGTTGAACAACAAGGCATCTAGCTATTAATTTATACTAATAAGATAATGTCCAAACCCTCATGACATACAAATGAAAGCCAATAAATGTTTCTAAATTTCAACATAATGAATGCAAGAGCTTATGGTGCCTTTTTGTTACTAGTGATCTCAAGACTTGAAACCCATGACAACAAGGTTGAGGTCTCGAATATAATGCACTTGAAAAGCTACATCCTATAAAAATAATAGGATGGCCTTCTTACACTGAGAAACACGCAATGAGAAATATATTATTATTAACAGATGTAGAATATGGCAAAACCAAAGGAATGAAGAAATAACAATGTGAAAATGCTATTAAACATTTATGGCTATGAGATTTTTTTTTTTAAACTTGCTGGTGAAAAACTCTCGTTCCAAAGAATATGCGTACCCTCTCACTTACCTTGGATTAAACCTGATTACCTCTCATTCCCTTGTGCTTTTACCAGTATGGGTTCAACATTACCCATCAATATTATAATAATTTGAAATTTTCAGCCTACTGTACTAAATAATTTCAAAAGAATTTACCTGAATTATTTATAAAACTATCAAAAGTGTCACTATGTTAGCAAAGAAATGAGATGAATGAAAAAAATGACTATTATAGACATGTGAAATGAATGTAGATGACATTAAATGGAATCTACCTACTGAATCATTGTGAAAATGTATTGCCATTTGCCTTTTAGTTCCAAGAAAAATATAAATGTAAATACTGAAATTGTACAGACTAAGTTCATAAGCTCTGATATGCTATATAAAGAGCACTTTCGTGTAAGGCACGCATTCAGTATCACTATTTACTAAAATTGCTAAACCCTTCCATCAAGTTCATCCCCAGAATAAATTCTAACAGCACATCTGTGAATTCTTTTGATCGTAACTAATACCTTCCAGTATTGGCATATACACGACTGTTACCATTTCCATGAATATAGCTGTTGTTGGTGCTTGTGAATCCATTGCCCTTGATATGTCCATTTCCAGGTACACTTCCATTGCCATGACCATTAGCTCCAACAGAACGAACGGGTGGAGGAGGAGCCTGCCTGCCATGTGATTTGGGTGGGGGAGGCAATTCCTTGTTAAGGGAGCTGGGCCATGTGTATACCATGTCACCACGCTTGGAACCTTTCCTGTTATTAAAAGAATATTGTAAAATTCACTAGCTCTTGAGATTGAGAACACTAACACAGGATGTCTCAAAAGTCTTAGCTAAAGCAGTATTACAGTGCAAAAAAGCTTGTAATGTGCACTGCATTTTTTCTCTCTGATTCCAGACTTCGGAGTCACCCTGTATTAAAAAACATTACTGTATAAACAAAACATATCAGTACAGAAAAATAATCATGTCAAATTGGAATACATACTCAGTGACCACTAAATTAGGTACACCTTTCTTTTCTATTACTGGGCAGGGGCCCCCCCCCTGTGCCCCCAGAACAGCATGAAGTCTTCATGGCATGGACTCAACAAAAAGTGCTGGTAACATTCCTAAGATATCCTGGTCCACGTTGACATAACATCATGCAGTTGCTGTAGATTTGTTGGCTGCACATTACATGCTACAAATCTCCCGTTCAACAACATCCTAAAGGTGTTCTATTGGACTGAGATCTGGAGACTGTGGAGGGCATTGTAGTACACTGAACTGATTATCATGTTTGTGGAACCACCTTAAGATGACACTGTGACATAAAATGTTATCCTGCTGGGAGATGAGAAAAGTGCAGGCATAAAAGGATGTACATGGTCAGCAACAATATTCAGGTAGGCTGTGGCATTTAAATGATGCTCAATTGATATTATGAGGCATATTGCGTACCAAGAATTTTTTTTTTTTTATTAACACATCGGCCAATTCCCACCAAGGCAGGGTGGCCCAAAAAAGAAAAAACTTTCATCATCATTCACTCCATCAGTGTCTAGCCAAAGGGGTGCTTTACACTACAGTTATAAAACTGCAACATTAACACTCCTCCTTCAGAGTGTAGACACTGTACTTCCCATCTCCAGGACTCCAACAGCACGTCAAGTATTAAAAACCATTTGTCTCCATTCACTCCTATCAAATACGTTCATGCACACTTGCTAAAAGTCCAAGTCCCTCGCACACAAAACCTCCTTTAACCCCTCCCTCCAACCCTTCCTGGGCCGACCCCTACCCCGCCTTCCCTGCACTACAGATTTATACACTAAGTCATTCTGTTCTGTTCCATTCTCTCTACATGTCCGAACCACCTCAACAACCCCTCCTCAGCCCTCTGGATAATAGTTTTGGTAATCCCACACCTTCTCCTAATTTCCGAACTACGAATTCTCTGCATCATATTCACACCACACATTACCCTCAGACATGACATCTCCACTGCCTCCAGCCTTCTCCTCATTGCAACATTCATCACCCATGCTTCACTCCCATACAAGAGTGTTGGCACAACTATATTCTCATACATTCCCCTTTTTGTTTCCATGGACAAAGTTCTTTGTCTCCACAGACTCCTAAGTGCACCACTTGCCCTTTTCCCCTCATCAATTCTGTGATTCACCTCTTCCTTCATAGACCCATCTGCTAACACGTCCACTCCTAAATATCCGAATACATTCACCTCCTCCATGCTCTCTCCCTCCAATCTGATATCCAGTCCTTCATCACTTAATCTTTTTATCCTCATAACCTTACTCTTTCCTATATTCACTTTTAATTTTCTTCTTTTACATACCCTACCAAATTCATCCACCAACCTCTGCAACTTCTCTTCAGAATCTCCCAAAAGCACCATGTCATCAGCAAAGAGCAACTGTGACAACTCCCACTTTGTGTTGGATTCTTTATCTTTTAACTCCACACCTCTTGCCAAGACCCTAGCATTCACTTCTCTTACAACCCCATCTATAAATATATTAAACAACCACGGTGACATTGCACATCCTTGTCTAAGGCGTACTTTTACTGGGAAATAATCTCCCTCTCTCCTACATACTCTAACCTGAGCCTCACTATCCTTGTAAAAACTCTTCATTGCTTTCAGTAACCTACCTCCTATACTATACACCTGCAACATCTGCCACACTGCCCCCCTATCCACCCTGTCTTATGCCTTTTCTAAATCCATAAATGCCACAAAAACCTCTTTACCCTTATCTAAATACTGTTCACCTGTATGTTTCACTGTAAACACTTGGTCTACACACCCCCTTACCTTTCCTAAAGCCTCCTTGTTCATCTGCTATCCTACTCTCTGTCTTACTCTTAATTCTTTCAATAACAACTACCATACACTTTACCAGGTATACTCAACAGACTTCTTTTTCTTTCAACACACCGGCCGTATCCCACCGAGGCGGGGTGGCCCGAAAGGAAAAACAAAAGTTTCTCCTTTTACATTTAGTAATATATACAGGAGAAGAGGCTACTAGCCCCTTGCTCCCGGCATTTTAGTCGCCTTTTACAACACGCATGGCTTACGGAGGAAGAATTCTGTTCTGCTTCACCATGGAGATAAGATGAAATAAACAAGAATAAGAACTAGAAAGAAAATAGAAGAAAACCCAGAGGGGTGTGTATATATATGTTTTTACATGTATGTGTAGTGTGACCTAGGTAGTAGGTTGGTAAACAGCAACCACCCAGGGAGGTACTACCGTCCTGCCACGTGAGTGTACAGCAAAAACCTGTAATTGTTTTACATGATGATAGGATTGCTGGTGTCTTTTGTCTGTCTCACAAACATGCAAGATTTCAGGTATGTCTTGCTACTTCTACTTGCACTTAGGTCACACTACACATACATGTACAAGCATATATATACACACACACCCCTCTGGGTTTTCTTCTATTTTCTTTCTAGTTCTTGTTCTTGTTTATTTCCTCTTATCTCCATGGTGAAGTGGAACAGAATTCTTCCTCTGTAAGCCATGCGTGTTGTAAGAGGCGACTAAAATGCCGGGAGCAAGGGGTTAGTAACCCCTTCTCCCGTATAAATTGCTAAATTTAAGAGAAACTTTCGTTTTTCTTTTTGGGCCACCCTGCCTTGGTGGGATATGGCCGGTGTGTTGAAAGAAAAGAAAGTGTAGTAGCAAGACGTACCTGAAATCTTGCATGTTCATGAGACAGAAAAAAGGACACCAGCAATCCTACCATCATGTAAAACAATTACAGACTTTCGTTTTACACTCGCTTGGCAGGACGGTTGTACCTCCCTGGGCGGTTGCTGTCTACCAACCTACTACCTAGGACTCAACAGACTTATTCCCCTATAATTTTTACACTCCTAGGTAGTAGGTTGGTAGACAGCAACCGCCCAGGGAGGTACTACTGTCCTGCCAAGCAAGTGTAAAACGGAAACCTGTAATTGTTTTACACATACATGTACAAGCGTATATATACACACCCCTCTGGGTTTTCTTCTACAGTGGTCCCTCAATAATCGTCCATAATCTGTTCCTGGAAGTGGGACTATTATCGAAAAGGACGATTTTCGAATCAATTTTCCCCATAAGAAATAATGTAAATCCAATTAATTCGTTCCAGACACCCAGAAGTATCAACAACAATTTTTTTTTTACCTAAAAGATAGATTTAAATGCACAAAAGAATGAACATTCAACATGACAGTTACCTTTATTGAAGGCTGATGTTGATGAATGGAAGACAGGGAGGAGGAGAGAGGAAAAAGAGGTTATTTGGAAGGGGAATCCTCCTCCATAAGGACTCGAGGGCACTAATAAAATGTATAAATGAACATTGGTAATAGGGGTAGTTGATGAGTGGAACAGTCTGCCTAGTAGGGTGATCGAAGCTAAAACATTGGGTAGTTTCAAATTTAGGTTGGATAAATACACGAGTGAGAGGGGTTGGATTTGAGTCGGACTTGCACCTGAGCTTATTGCTTGGGTAGCATTTGTTCTGTTAGTGGGTTGGATTTGTGAAGGACCGGCCTAGTATGGGCCAACAGGCTTATTGCAGTGTTCCTCATTTCCAATGTTCTAAAAGCTATGGCTTGGGTAGTTTCAAATTTAGGTTGGATAAATACACGAGTGAAAGGGGTTGGATTTGAGTCGGACTTGCACCTGAGTTTATTGCTTGGGTAGCATTTGTTCTGTTAGTGGGTTAGATTTGTGAAGGACCGGCCTAGTATGGGCCAGCAGGCCTGTTCCAGTGTTCCTACTTTCTTAAGTTCTTATTTAACATCACACTTACCAGTAGGGTGATCGAGGCTAGGACCTTGGGTAGCTTTAAGAAGAGATTGGACAAATATACGAGTTGGAGGAGCTGAGTTTGATTTGTGTCATTGGGTACAGGAGTAAATTCTTGGGTAGCTTTGGGTGGAGGTCATTTTGATAAGGACCTGCCTTGTATGGGTCAGTAGACCTGCAGTGTTCTTCCATTATGTTCTTATTGGCTATTTGTTTGTGTGAAGGAGGGATGGCAAGTTTATTGTTGGAGAATATGACACTAATATCAACTCTATGGCTTATTTATCTATCACAATTCAACTAATATGACATAATAAACAATATTAATAACATAGAAACATGGAATATACTCTAGAATGAATAAAATAAGTCATTACGTATGTCACGAGAGGTGTTGTGTTGTGTTGTTGTTGGGTATATAAGGGCCACCGAGTGTAAGCCGTCCATAATGGTGGTGAAACAGCAGCTGAGGCGGCGGTGGTTTTTGTAGCCCTATATAACTCCAACAACATTGGAGGAGTTGGTAGAATCGCTGAATCACTAAAGAAGGAACCCTTTACCACCATCACTACTACCTTCTACCACCATCACTACCACCAAAGAAAGCTTCTAGTGCCAGCCCTTTGGTAAAGAATGTGAGAAACACATAATTTATGAAAAAGTTTGTAGAAAAATACAAAGATGGTGGTGGTAGAGTGGAAGCAGTTGTGATAGTGGTTGATGAACATAAGAAAGGAGGATCACTGCAGCAGGCCTGTTGGCCCATGCTCGGCAGGTCCTTTACAATTCATCCCACTAACGAAACATTTTCCCAACCCAGTCCTCAATGCTGCCCAAGAAATAAGCTCTGATAACTCTATCCACTCATTTGCAAGTCCCAAATGAGTGGATAGAGTTATCAGAGCTTATTTCTTGGGTAGCATTGAGAACTGGGTTGGGAAAATGTTTCGTTAGTGGGATGAATTGTAAAGGACCTGCCGAGCATGGGCCAACAGGCCTGCTGCAGTGATCCTCCTTTCTTATGTTCATCAACCACTATCACAACTGCTTCCACTCTACCACCACCATCTTTGTATTTTTCTACAAACTTTTTCATAAATTATGTGTTTCTCACATTCTTTACCAAAGGGCTGGCACTAGAAGCTTTATTTGGAGCCATGGTAGCTTATTTAGCACTTGCAAGCACAAAAATCAATGGAATATTATGAAATATTTCGTAGGAGCATGTGAGGGAACCGTCACTCACTGGTAAACAATGGCACACTGGCTGGGAAGGAAAGGCCAAGGCGGCTCAGAGCGTGAGTACGCGTCCGGGACGAAGGACTATTAGGACTATTAGCGAGTTACCGGACCATTTGCGAGCCAATATTTTGATGAAAAAACAGGACTATTTCCGAAATGGACGACTTTCAGGCCAGACGATTATTGAGGGGCCACTGTATTTTCTTTCTAGTTCTAGTTCTTGTTTATTTCCTCTTATCTCCATGGGGAAGTGGAATAGAATTCTTCCTTCCTAAGCCATGTGTGTTGTAAGAGGCGACTAAAATGCCGGGAGCAAGGCCCTAGCAACCCCTTCTCCTATATAAATTACTAAATTTAAAAAGAGAAACTTTCGTTTTTCCTTTTGGGCCACCCCGCCTCGGTGGGATATGGCCGGTGTGTTGAAAGAAAGACTTCTAAACTGTTGTATTCTGGGCACCTCTACAAAAACGGTGATTGTGTGAGCGAGGTGAAAGTGTTGAATGATAATGAAAGTATTTTCTTTTTGGGGATTTTCTTTCTTTTTGGGTCACCCTTCCTTGGTGGAAGATGGCCGACTTGTTGGGAAAAATAAATTTTAATAATAATGTACTATAATAATAATTATAATAATAGACGGCTTCGAAAGGCCGTCACTAGATGGCAGTGAATACCACAATAATGGGGAAGCAGTTATGGCTGCCTCCAATTATCACATAATGACATTTTATTCATTATAGAGTATATATCAGGTTTCTATGCTATTTATATTGTTTATTATGTCATATCAGATCAATTGTGATAGATAAATAAGCCGTAGAGTTTATATTAGCATTATATTGAAGTGTATTTTTCCTGCCTCTGAAAGCAGGAATTCCGCTGGAACGAATTAATGACCTTTCAATTAATTTAAATGAAGAAAACTGACTCGGCACATGAACAAATCAGGATACGAACAAGGTCACGTAATGGATTAAGTTTGTAAGCCGAGGTTCCACTGTATATATTTTGAAAAAAAGAAGAAAAAATCTATGATTCACCTTAAACAAAATTGTAATTATTGAATCTACAATTCTCTGAAACAAACCTGAGCACTCCACATATACATAAAATAAACATGCATAAAATATCAGCAGATCTGGTAGAAACAGAAAAAATTACTTATAACTGAGGTTGAACAAAATCGTAATTAATAAATCTACAGCTCTTGATTAGTCTATACCAAGAAAGAACCCTCCATATGTGCATAAAACGAGCATAAAACAAAATATGAATGCAACTGGGGAAAATAATTTGATTAGCATTTGTAATTAACTGGTTTCAAAATGCCCTGATCATAACTGTGCTGTATTGCAGTTATCACACATGTTTGTATAGATTTCCCTGGAGGTGCTCTGGGTTTGGTTATGTCATTACTATCACCTTCATTCATGCTAATGGCTTCTACTATTTCCTTCATTTGATGTGCTATCTTTTGTAATCCAATGATCTACACAATTGTTTCATGTTAGCAACTTATTTTTGCCCATATTAATTTGTCTATAGCTAAAAATGTCTGACAAACTCGGCATTCAAGACCATATGGCACAAGGAAATCATACACGCATCTGTCCACCAAACAAGCTAGAAGGCACTGAGCACACAGCCAGTGACCTAAGGGAATCCTGTGACATCCTGCTATGACTTACCAGGGTGGCATTAATTTTTATTGCACCAAGGAACCTAACTGGATTGAGTATTATTCCAACATTAAGTATGTTGGGCACCTCCACCTGGCATACTTTAATGTTGCAATAATACCCAATTCTGTTATGCTCATCAATGTAACAGAAATCAACAAGCACTATACAAGTGTCTGGGCTGAAAATGATTTAAAGGCTCACAAAACAATAACTATTAAAAGTTGTATGAGAAAAGGAAAACATAAAATGACACTATTTCTGAACACACACATTATAGAACATGACAAGTCTTGTATGCAACTGAGGAACAAATGTGTTTATCCAAGTATTTTCTGGGTTTACAGTCACTATTATATCATGATAACATTCTTCCTGGTCAGGTATTCTTTCAATTTCAAAGTTAGGTTCTGTTAGAGTAGGTGAAATTAGTTTGATTCATTCCATCTTAACCTAACCAGGAGACTAATATCTTTACATAACAGCATCTGGATAAGCACAGAAGATGATCAGATAAGCTAGTGATGAAAACATACATCTTCCTCATTTGCATACTTAGCACTTTTCACAACATAACTTACAAGTAAAAGTTACTTTTCTTAATTTTTTTTTAAAGCTATTTGTTTTGAGTATTGTTTCTATGATGATTTAATCTTTGGAGGGTCGGTCCCACAGTACTATGCTTTGAAGCATGGGTTGGTCCTGTAGTACTATGACTTTGAAGTGTGGGCCAGTCCTGTAGTTCTACAGAACCGTAGTTCTACACTCACAGTTTATCTGAGCGAGCTCAGCTCACTCATAAGCTGTGATTAGGAAATTTGGGCCTAGATATAAGAGTGGGTCTATGTGGTAAGTGTGCACCATATATAAAAAAAAATCCTACAATACACCACAAAGTCACTGTTTAAAACAGCAACTTTGCAGTGCATTTTCACATGGCTTTTATTATTATATTCTTGGTATCTTGGTCTAAATTGATATAATTGAACGTATATTACAGAAATAGAGATGATTGTGATTGGTTTTAGGACTGAAAGTAGCTTCAAATTAAGCTCAAAGTAGTGGAAATGTTCGATTTTTGCCGAAATTGCAGAGTACACAAATTACGTCACTTATCCAATACACATCCAACTGGTTGGTCTAATACACGTCTACAAATGCACTGACATTGTTTATACAATTTTTACAATAATGCAGCAGTCTGCTTAAGAGTAAATCTTTTATTTTTTGTGAATAAAAATTCAAAATGGAAAGACTAAGATGGAGAGGCCCAAGAAAGTGACTAATGAACAGAGGAAATGTTTTAGTCCCAGGAAAGTCTACATTGTTTATTCTGGACCCTATTTTGAAATTGGCAGTTTTTAATCATGTTAAATTGGCCAAATTACTGATTTCTGGTCACTCTACTGGGTTGTAGAATTAGGAAAATGAGCATTTTCTTGTATTCAATCAACAGAATAGAAGGAATACCAGAGAAATAGCTATGAGTTTGGGCTCAAAGTGGGCGAAACTTTGATGCATTAATATTTCAGAGACCGCTAACTTTGCTAGAGCTTATTCCGTAAGTTTTCCATCAAATTTCGTACTTTTGGTTTCATTACCTTCGGAAAAAGGTTTTCTATCATTTCAAAAGAAAAAAAATATTTTTTTTTTTAATTTTCTGACTCTAAGAGCAAGTTTCAGATCAGGGGTTCTGACCCTCAAAGGGTTAATGGGCTATTCTTGCAAAAAGCTTTTTTCCATTCTTTTTAATGAGTATCTCCACACCCATGAAAATGAGACAAGCAGCTGCTGCTGATGATGAAAATGATAGATATACAACTGCCTACTAAAAATATGTAAAGTTCAGAAGCCATTTTTTTTTTTTTTACCTAAATGCAGCAAATGAGCCAACATCACTCTCTTCAACAGTCACCATTCGAGACTTGTTACCCAACATGCACTGAAGGCTTGCACCCACTACCACACGCAGCTCCGAGCGATTAAGACTAGAAGAGAAATATTTGTGATGGGAAATATTGTACATCTTATAATTGACAAATAGAGTAAACATTTTTAAGAAAATAAAAAGTACATTAAACATTTTAAGCTTAAAATTTAGTACATATAATTTATTATCAACATTTTAAATCTACGTATACAAATCAACTAGGTAAAGTCCTCTAATCATATTTTAAGAAATTGTAAAACCATCTAGGAAATTACTGATCAATAGTTTCATTATCAACACATTTACAAATCAGGAACTGCTAGTGGTGTTACTTACACTTGATACTGTCTGAGTAGGAGTCCAGTTAATTCTCCAACACGATTTGCATTAGTATGTGATGACAGAGAAATAACTAGGTCATTGCCACCTCTTAAGTGGATTATAACTAACTGATCTTGGCCTGGGCTTACACTCACTCCACTCACCTGGAATACACAAAAACCTTTGGATAGCAATAAGAAGGGACTAAGTTCATAACCAAAATTAAGCACATTATCACATTTTAATGATACAAAAAATAAAAGCCAATTGGTACAACTGATGCTGTACTAAGTACAGTGGAACCCCAGTTTTCGTGATTAATCCGTTCGAAAAAGTCCGACGAAAACCGAATCATACGAAAACTTGAAGCAATATTTCCTCCAAGCAATAATGTAAAACCAATTAATCCATTCCAGACACCCAAAAATATTTAAAAAACAAAAAAAAAAAAAATACATTTTATAGAGAATAACTATAGGGCAAACAAAAACCGAGGTTCCACTGTAATATTATTTTAATTGACCTTGTTTCACTGGTTATTCACTTTCAAAACATTCAAGTAGGTATCTAGTTCAGAGTGTGAAGCATGGGTTTTAAATGTTACAGCTAGGAGGAGGAGACTGGAGGCAGTGGAGATGTTAATTCTGAAGGCAATGTGTGGTGTGAATATTATACAAAGAATTCGTAGTTTGGAGATTAAAGGGTGCAAGGTTACTAAAAGTATTGTCCAGAGGACTGAGGATGGTTTACTGGGGTGGTTTGGACATTTAACAAGGATGGAGGAAAATAGAATGCCTTGGAGGGCATACAAATCTGAAGTGGAAGGAAGGTGGGGCAGGGGTCATCCTGGGAAAGGTTGGAGAGAGGTGGGGTAAAGGAGGTTTTGTGTGCAAGGGGCTTAGACTTCCTGCCAGTGTGCGTGAGCATGTTAGATAGGAGCGAGGGGAGACACTGTTTTTCTGACTTGACAATGTTCTTGGAGTGTGAGCAAAGTAACATTTATGAAGGAATTCAGGGAAGTACAGTGCCTGCATTCTGGAGCAGTGGAGATATGTTGCAGTTTTTGGACTGTAGCATCAGCATGGCTCTGGCAAGACAGTGATGGAGTGATGACGAAAGTGTTCCTTCTTTTTAGGGTCACCCTGCCATGGTGAGAAATGGCCTATATGTTAAAAAAAAAAAGTTCCACAAGATCCCTACATGAATCCCAGTATTTATAAAAACCACAGAGAAAGTGAAAAGGCCTAAGTTACTCTACAGTGAACCGCATGCTACGAGCTACACATCAGAGAAAAAGAGAACTTGCAAACAGATGGTTATGGTTATCCTCAATTGACAGTGGTCTTGGTGATGATTACTATGAAAGAAGGAGAGAAACACCCACATCCTGCAAAACCCTGTAAAATATTACTTTATAATGGTCTACAATACCAACAAGCTGATGAATAAGTCACATGTGCAATACCTGGGTATCTTAATTGCCAAAATGCTTCACCTGTGCAGCAGACTTCACTTGAACATAAGCTTATGCAATGCCATCTCCAGGTTGTTTGCCTGTATTCGAGTGAAGAAGCCTGCTGCAGACAAATCATTTCAGCAATAGACACCCAAGTACTGCAAGTGTCTTATTCAGAAACCCTGTATAACTTGTTTTTTGTATGAACATACTCATTATAGCATCTTTTTCCATTCACATCTGTCTGTTGATTTCCTGGAACATCAACAAAATTCCATATCCTTGAGGCACACTTGGTGATCAAAACATTCAGAATTACTGGTATACTTATCTGGTAACAACTTTATTTTATCAGTCTTTCATGGTAATTTGTGTACTGAACAATAAATACAGGTGTAGTTATTAAACATATGCTTAATGGCAATACACTGTATAGAAGTAGGAAAATTATCAATGGAAAATCTTTCATCAGTTCAAGGAGTCATTTCTAAGTTGGTTAAGACTTAAAATGGATAAAAATCAGAACAAAGGAATTGCTGTACTAGGAACGAAGAGAACAAAAATTGTCAAGACATCATTGGCAAGCGTTCAGAAAAAAGGATAGCTCATAAAATAGTTCTTGATAACAGCGGGAAAATTAGTGGAAGTGGTATGGTGATACCGAGTTGTACGTGAAATACATGTATGAAGAAGCCGCTTGGGATAAAACATTTCCTTAATAAATATCTTGATCAGTGCATACATGTTTTTTACCTACAACAGAAAAATTGGTCTACAAACAAAATGAAACCGGGAAAAGAGTGAGGCAAAAACTGCCTGAGTACCTTTTACATAAATAGCCAGAGTGCAAGAAATAAAATAGAGGAAGTAAGACTAATTTCATGTGAAAGTGACATGGCTGTAATAATTGAGACCTGGTTACTCTAAAAAATAGGGACTTACCTGCTGAAAATCACATACAGGGGTATAAATTATTTCAAACTGATAAGAGTCAACAAGAAAGGGGGCAGAGTTGCTATGAATGTTTGGGAAATTTAAACTGTTCCATCAGAAACTAGGCAAAGTTGGAATGAGCAGACAAGGAATCAGCATGGCTACAATTTCTAACGTCAAAAGTGGACACATACCACCTTTTGTGAGATTCTAAAGAGACGCTGCAAAGGTTAGTGGATGAATTTCGGAAGGTACATAAAAGATGGAAATTTCAAGTGAACATAGAAAAGAGCAAGGTAATCATAAAAAAAGAGACTAGGTAATAGAAGGCTGGGTATCATATTAGAGGGAGGGAGTATGGAGGAAGTGAATGTATTGGTTGAACAGGTTAGCAGTGGATTTATGAAAGATGAGATGAATCATAGAACAGACAAGGTTTTTTGAAAAAAGTGGTGTGCAAATGTATTTTCAAGATATTTATTCAGGGAGGTAAAACAAGGGGATTGTACCAGTACAGTGGTACTAATGCTTTTAAATGGGTGTGAGGCCTGGGCTCTAAACACTGCAGTGAGGAAGAAGCTAAAAACATTGGAAATGTCATATTTGAGAACAATGTGTGGCGTAAATTTGCAGAGAATTCGAAGCGCAGAAGACATTAGATGGAGTGGGGTTACTATAGATAATTCAGAGCTGTGGAGGGGTTGTTAAAGTGGTTTGGGCATTTAGAGAGGCTGGAGCACTTTAGGATGACCAAGAGGGTGCATAAATCTGAGTTGGAAGCAGAGATAAGGGTCATCACAGGAAAGGTTGGAGGGGAAGCAGGTTTTGAGCATTAGGAGTGTGAACATCTATCAGATTTGCATGAGCATGTTAGGGTGGAGTGGAGCTAAGTGGATTTTATAAGTGTACTGTTGCAGTGTAAGCAAGATAACATTTATGAAGGGATTAAGGGAAACCAATTAACAATACTTGAGTCCTGGAGGTTGAGAATACAGAACCTGCACTCGGAGGGATGGAGATACTGTAAGTTAAAGGATCATCTGAACTGTGATGGTTGCACACTTCTGGAAACACAGCTATGTATTAAATGAATTGTAAATATTTTTTGTTTTTACAGTGACAAGTGTTAAAAAAAAAATAAAAAAATAATCGACACACCTAAGGGGGGAAAAATATGCACATACAATACCTCCAAAATGGGAATAGGAGATCTTAGTGGCTTGAAGGTCTTGCTGTGTAATTTGTAAATTTGCTTGTCTGTCAGCATAATTGCACGCTCTGCCATCTTGTTCTTTTTATTTATCTTTCTTACCAAACTGGAGAACAATACCTGAAAAAATATAATTCTCTAATACTGATGTCCTCACTTTTTAAAATCCTTCACTGACTCTCACCTACAACATTGTTTCTTGCACAATTATAGGGACTTGGGAGTCTTCCATAACTAAATTTCTAACAATTTTTTTTATTCTTTTTATTTCATGAGTGCAGTATGAAAAATATCAAGAGCTTTTTCCACATCTTAATTAGTGCAAAAAAAAAAAGTTATTAATAATTTCATTAATTGCTAATTCCTAGTTTATTAACCCGTAAACGGTCCAAGCAGATCTACGTTCACATGTGTAGTGCTACAAAAGTAGATCTACGTTTTTTTTACTTATTTTCAAATATAAAAAAAAAAAAAAAGTAGATCAAAGTTTTTTACACATTTTCAAATGTAAAAAAACAAAAAGAAGATCTACTTTTTTTACATACTTTCAAATGTTGAAAAAACGTATATATACGTTTGGACCGTTTACGGGTTAAGCCTTGTAACATATATACCTTACCAACTATGATAATAATACTTTAGACAGTTTACAATAATTAGCAAATATATCTTATCTCTGTATGAGATTAGTGAGGTTTTGGCAAAATAAATTCATTTCAGTTAGAATGCTACATAAATACAGCAAAACACTAGTTAACAGACCCCCCCCCATCCATGTAACAAATTTCAGAAAACTATGGACAAAAAACTGGTGGTGATGCAAAGAGGAAATGTGTGTTTCTCAGTATTAAGCAAAAAACATCAACTAATAAGTAATACACAAATAACCCGCACATAGAAGAGAGGAGCTTACGACGACGTTTCGGTCCAACTTGGACCATTTACAAAGTCACACTAACAAAAAGGAGAGCAGGATGGGTATATATAGGCAGGAGGTGATAGTAATAGTAATAGTAGTAGTGGAGGGAAGGAAGTAGTAGTGGGGAGGAAGTAGGAGTAGAAGGGGCCAGTCAAATACTAAGAAAGAGGAGCACTGCAAGGGAGCTAGGTGCCCACAGAGGGTAAGAGCAAGAACACTGAGGGGGGGAAACAAATAAATAAATAAATAAATAAATAAAGGAACAAATACACAGGGCAGAAGAATGACAACCCAAAGGAGAAAAAGGAAAGAGGAAAGGAGAAGAGGGAGAAGAAGAAAAAAAGGAGGAATCAGGTTAGGTCACGAGTGTTCTGAAGTTTGGAGCATTTTACAATGTAGTGTGAAAGGAAGGCATCTCTGTAGATGCTTTCCCCTCCAACTACATTGTAAAATGCTCCAAACTTCAGAATACTCGTGACCTAACCTGATTCCTCCTTTTTTTCTTCTTCTCCCTCTTCCCCTTTCCTTTTTCTCCTTTGGGTTGTCATTCTTCTGCCCTGTGTATTTGTTCCTTTATTTATTTATTTATTTATTTATTTGTTCTCCCCCCTCGGTGTTCTTGCTCTTATCCTCTGTGGGCACCTAGCTCCCTTGCAGTGCTCCTCTTTCTTAGTATTTGACTGGCCCCTCCTCCTCTTACTACCTCCCCACTACTACTTCCTTCCCCCTCCGCTACTACCACCTCCTGCCTATATATACCCATCCTGCTCTCCTTTTTGTTAATGTGACTGTAAATGGTCCAAGTCGGACCGAAATGTCTTCGTAAGCTCCTCTCTTCTATGTGCAGGTTATTTGTGTATTGTTCCAGTTACGGTATTGTGCCTTTTTTGTTACTAATAAGTAAGGTTGATTTTGGCATCTCAGCAGCATGGGTAATGTGAGGAATGTGGTGTTAAGAGACACTATCTGATATCCATAGAATCAAGGACAAACTTACACACTATGCTCTTAAATTCAGTGTTAATGCTAGCCAAAAAGGTTCAACAGTTGGTCACAGAAAGCAGTTCACACCTTATCTCTCCACTATAAAAAGGTAAGTAAAATAATTACTTTAAATTATAATAAAATTACTATACAGTACTGTACTGTAATTGTATATGCACAGTACAATTGTACAGTACTGTACTTTCAACTTAATTTTTATATACAATGCAGTACTATACAGGAACTGTATTTACAATACAGTACCTGTATAGCACTGTACTGTATTGTGTTTACAGGTTCTTAAGTGTCCAAAAGTCTTTTGAATCAGCAGACCAAGTTAGCAGATTCAGAACTTTGTCAGTTTATGTTACAATCATGAAAAATTTATTTCGTAATAAGGAAACTATGGACAACTGAAAATAATACACGGGTACACCTTTTCTTTCCTATTACCAAGTTAATTAGTGGGTTCATTGTAACACGATATATATAAAGCAACATTACAAAACATGGATTGCCATACTGAATTTTTAAGGGCTCTTTAATAGCATACTTATGTATTTAAGCACAGAAACACATCTAAAAATTGTTTTACATGGGCACAAGTAAAGCCTAAACTGTAATGTGATTTACACATCGTTCGGCAAGGTTATGCCATTACAAGAGTATGCAGGTAAAATTCTGGTTCTACTGTCTAAATGAATTTTAAATAGTTTGATACAGCTCACAGTTACTGAATACATTTATTTATATTAGTTCACAGTAGATAAAAATACGAAAAGAATATTCACAAATGTAGATAAATTCACAAGTATCTAGCCCTCATAAGAAAATTAAAAGATTGTGTCTATCTCTCAACTTCTAATAGACATGCATGTGTACCATATATACTGACCTCTCTGAATCCATCCTTGTTGCGCATGTTTCTTACAGCAGACTGAAAGGTTGCAGCTTCAGGGTTTTCTTTTGTAGATGCCAGGTAGTTCCCCTCCCAGGTCTCTCGCACACCCCAGTCCACACGCTTACCCATCAAAGCATCCCCTGCAATCACCTAGCAAATTCCACAGTAAATGAGTATTAAGCACTATTTCAACTAAAATAGGCAATTTGTTAAAAAACTGAGAAGCTTATTTTTTATATCTACCATACTGTAATGCTTAAAGGAAATGAAAGATCTGGATCTCTCAGCATTATGTCCCATGACTGCTACAAAATTATCACAGCTGTCCAAAGAATGCTGTCCACAAACATAGGTTCAAAAATTGTATAAAGAAACAATCTCCATGTGAACAAGACATTCAGTAATACTGTTATGCCATGTAGATATACATCTCTGGCTCAAAAACTATTATTTAATGTTTTTTTCAGGATAATTTGTAAATCCAGTCTATAGAACTGGATTTACAAATTTATCAGATATTTTGCAGGGGCAAAGAACCTATCGAAATGTTAAACTGATCCAATTTAACCCATTAAGTAAAGCAGTGTTAATGTATTACCTTGATGCGAAGTTGAGGCCATTCTGTTTTAGGGATACTGGAGAGGATCATGCTAGCCCTCCACCGGTTGTGAATGCTCTGGAAATCTGACACCATTGCTTGTAACACTAAGGGTGGAGCTGGCCACCGCACATGCTTACCATAGTCCTGCATTTGCCTCACATTTCTGAAGCAAATTTGAAATAAAAATATACATTATTAGTGGAATATGAGGGAGGCAAGGGAGAAAAAGTTAGCAAATGAGAGGGGGGTTTTTACAATATAAAAGTGATGCACAGAAAGCAGAATACATGTATATGAAGAGGAAAACAGGTTAAAAGAGTGGTGGAGGAAGGGCATAAAGACAGGCACTGAGAGAATGGGTTTGTCATTATCTGCAATTTTTGCAGAAAGACAGAGGATATTTTCAAGACACTGAATGATGATAATGAATGGGAGGCAATGATTACATGCATTAACCCTTAAACTGTCCAAACGTAGATCGACGTTTTTTCAACATTTGAAAGTATGTAAAAAAACGTAGATCTTCTTTTTGTTTTTTACAGTTGAAAATGTGTAAAATACTGTATTTGAAAATATGTAAAAAACGTAGATCTACTTTTGGAGCGCTACGCATGTAAACATAGATGTTTGGACAGTTTAAGGGTTAAGCAGGGAAGAATAACATCTTATAGGGCCTAGAGGTGGATATGGGAAAAGTGCATGAGGTAGAATTAAAGAAGGTAAAGTAGCTAGAGTAGATGGGCTTGAGAATGAGATGTTAAAAGTAGATCGGGATATAGTTAACGGATAAGACACGTGCAATGGCTAGGTATCCTTACTGATGAGATTTTTGTCAACCAGTGGCTTTTTCAATTCAGTAAAAAGAAAAAAATATTGGGCATGATTGAATAGGTAGTTATAAGGTGCTTTTGGTCCTTCTGCCTTGACAGGTGTTCAGTCCTTAGGATAAACTTGTATACTGGAGCCAGAGAAGAGGTGCAGCAACTGAAGGCATCAGATCTCAGATCATTCATTTCCCAACATATATTGCTAAGCTAAGATGCATAACATTAAAAAATACGACTGACAAATATAAAACAAGACTAGAACAACGTGTGTGGTGTGTATGTGTGCAATGTATGGTGTGACTATTATGCTGAGAATTCATAACTTAGAGATTAGAAGGTATGGGTTACTAAAATATTACCCAGACGTTTTATGTGCAAGGAGCTTAGACATCCACCAAGTGTGTGTGAGCGTGTTAAGATAGAAGTTGAGGTAAATGGTTTTTGGGATTTAAGGTTATGAAGTGTAAGCAAGATAACATTTTGTGAAGGGATTCAGGAAAACCAGTTAGCTGGATCGAGTCCTGAAGGTGGGAAGTCCAGTGACTGCACTCTGAAGGAAGGTGGGTTTATATGCAGTATGGAGGGGCATCTTAACTGTAGTATCGGCATGCCTCTGGCAAGACAATGATAGATTGAATGATGAAGGAATTTCTCTTCTTTTTTGGGTCATCCTACCTTGGTAAGAAATGGCTGGTGTTAAGGAAAAAAATATAAAATATAAAACAAAGTTAGAAACATTTCTACTGACATCAAATGCCAGTTAAATCCTGTGGAAAAAAAAAATGAATGTTGAAGCATTAACTATGAAGTTTCTCTTAACAAGTAAAAAAAACAAAAATTACTGTTAAACTGAAAGCTAAAAGTCTCACCTGAATACTCTGTTAAGCTCCAGTATGTAGGATCTCATCTTGTAGAGTCTGTAGTGGCGCAGGATGGTGATGGCAGCACACATGCGTCTGTAGTGCATTCGACAAATAGCTCCTCGCCACATCTTTTGCAGGAAAATCACTATTCCTGGGATCAGCTTGGCTCTACCCTATAAATTCACAAATAGAGCATTTATCAATCAGGCCATATTAAATGAATCTCAGCATCATAAGATAACCCTCAAGTAACTAGAAAATTGTGCAACAAAGTTAATATTTATTTGTAACTAATATCACACCAGAGGATCTCACTCATATACCAGTGACTAGCTTTTGTATTCTTAACACTCTCCTTTTCCTTTTCTTCTTTGTTCTTGGATAAAACTTTTCCTAAAAGAATTAAGAAGCTGAACAACCATTCATAAACAAAAACTTATTAAACAAAATAACTTAATATACCCAGGGAAAGGTCAATGTCAGTGCTTTGTGCAATATACCATCTATTCCTTACAAAGAAAATGGGCATGGCACTCTTTCTTGAAAAATCAGTTGCTGTTATACATTTAATACATACACTTATCACTATAAAATATGCTTAAAAAGTAAAAAGTGTTGTCATACCTTAAATTTTCTGTTTCTCTTGCAAGAACCCCCTTGGCAATGCCACTGATTCTGTAGTGGACTAATATAAGAGGTCTGTCTTATTTACCAATGCTACTAACATTTCATCAGATATTATGTGATTCACTATACAATTTCACAATTTTCTCATTTATAACAGGCAATTCCTGGTTCTCTTGCCTGTACATAAATGAGTGAGTGGTAGACGGCTGTGAGCCATCTGTTTATATTTAATCGGCTGATGGCTATGGGTCAGTCATCTGTTGAGGTTAATAGCGTCACCAGAGAATATGCCATATTGAGCTGAAGTCAGCAAGCAGCTTTCCAAAAGCCAAATAAATATCTAAATTGAAAACTATTCATACCCGAGTCACTTTTTTATAACTTTCATGGAATGCAAGCCCACGCAAGACACTGATTTAATATTTTTTTAATGTAAAAATAAATATTGTTGTATTAAAAACATGCTAAGTGGGTGTGTGCTATAAGAAGTCTGTATCTCTATATCATTGTTTTCAAGAAAATAACCAAGCTACCTGTTCCAAAGCAAAGAGAGTCTGTGGAGAGCGGATAAAGAGTTTGGTATTGCCATATTTGACGTCATTGGTGAAGCCCTGTTCCTCTACCAGAATCTTGGTTCCCTCTCGGTCTGTACCACCATGGAAGTTGGGCCATGTGTACTGAGAGATCATCTTGTATCTGTAGGAGTTATAAAAATAGCATGTAAACCCATTTGGAACATTTGTAAAAATATTAAAATTCCATTTCACATTCATTAAAAGCTTCTTTGGCACTACTTTAAGTAATAATAATGAACAGTTTTATATTTGTATAACCAATAACATATATTAAGTTGGAAAAACTCATGAATATTAAAGAATACTGATAAAATTTTTAAGTAAATAATAGCTAAAACATATTAGCAACTGATACAATTCAAAACTACAAATTGTTATAAAGCCTAACTATGCTAATATATTCAATGATTTTCAGGAATTCTATTCTCCGGAATAAACTTCCAAACCACAATACAACAAAGTTTCATGCAAAAGTTTGACATTTTCTAAAGAAACCAATTAGTTGAATAAGCTTGAAATATGTTTAAGACAATCAAATATACAAAAAATTTGCTCTTAAAGTTGCATGCATTCAAGAGTCATGCTTGAAGACCCTTTGGTTTCTGTTTCCTCTCAATAATAGTTGTTGAATTTCAAATCCATTTTGTAATTTGGTACTTTTTTAGTTATTAAACAAGGCCCTTAATTATGTGGCTTTAATTAGAATTTATAGCTAATGTAAAACTAAAAGCAGCAGCTTTATTAACCTCCTGAGGAAGCGATCATAACTCTGCCTATATGCAAAACCAGCTCTTCTTACTCGAAGGTTCTCCACCAGACCAAGATAGTTCACCTGTTGAATGTGAGATTTATAGATCAGTCATTGACACTGTTTAAACTATAAACTGTTACCAGAAGAGCAAATATTGAAATAATTTATACTTTCATTAGTAACAAAATTTTATGAACACTTTTCGTGTAGTTGCTCTGGCAACTACAGTGCCAACGCAGGACCAACCTGGTGAACAACTCGCTCTTGGTCGAAGATAACAGGAGACTTTTGGTCGTTGGGCTTTATACACCGAATATAGTATGGCTCTTTGCTGGCAAGGTTTTTCACTAAAGCTACCATTGAATTCTTGAATAGTGTTCCTGCTGTGAGAGGTCGTTTTGTTGTCTGCAAGAAAATCATTGCTTTAGAAAAAAGGAGTGATTTTCACTACTGGACAATCAACACTTGTTTTCATAATCATTGCCTTAATTCCTTCTATAACCCGATTACCATGCTCAACCGAAACAAAATACTTACTTCATAATTATCAAATACCCATGTGTCATAAGAGGCAACTAACATGCCAGGAGTAAGGGGCTAGTAACCCTTTCTCCTGTATACAATACTACAGTTAAAAAGAGAAACTTTCGTTTTTCTTTTTAGGCCACTCTGCTTCGGTGGGATAGGGCTGGTTTGATGAAAAAAATAAAAAAATGATCAAATATATGTATTAAGTATTTTGAAAAAAAGAAAATTAATCAATCATTTAGTGCAAGCAAAATAAGATGAAGCATGCTTGGAGAGTTGACTCTTTCAGCAATTACCACCATTTTTCAAAAATATGATTTAAAAAATTACATCTTTCCAAATTAAAATTGTCACACATTTCCCAAAAATATATATGACAAAAATAGTATTAAATCCACATCTATAAGATCAAAGACAGTAACCCCCATACCTACAAGAGCATACATGTAATCCCCATACCTACAAGAGCATACATGTAATCCCCATACCTACAAGAGCATACATGTATATCAATTTAATAAAAAATTACTCAGAGAAAGTTTCTCAAATTTGCTGCCATCTAATGTAAACATTTTTTTTTTTTTTAACACTAGCTGTCTCCCAACTTTCACTGCTATCTTGAACAAACCAATGGATGATTTTACCTAAATTTAGTTTGCCCTATTATTCCAGTGAATAAAGTAAATCCTGGCAGCTTTTGGTTAAGCACTTGTTCATGTATGTATACTTTTTCATCTCTACAGTTAATGAAAAACTTCGTATGCTGTGTAACACCAGCCCCTGGTTTGCCTATTTATATGCTTCTCTGATGTATGTGGGATCCGTAACATATGCAAGTTTGTTTACTAAAGCATCATGCACTTTATTAACACAGTTTACAATTAATTCTTCTGAAGGAAAGATAAAGCTCATAATGATAACAGAATTGTTAAGCTATGGTACTGTCATCACGTTTGGTGGATAGCTGTTTCTGTTTGATGTTGAGATCCTTGAACTGCTGTCATTTGTATCTGAAGAGATGTTATTAGTTTCTTAGTGGTCCGGAAACCATCTTTTTTATTCACCTGATGGCTCAGTGTGTTTTCCATTTCAGTTATTTTGTTTGCATGGTTAGCTAATGATCTTATAGTTTAGTCAGTTTTTCATATATTCCCTAAAATTAGGGAGCTGTTTTGAACCATCCTGCATCAGTGTAGAATACCTGGCACAGGCATATCATGAGCTTTTTGGAGGTAACATGTTATGAGTTTTTTTTTTATTAAACCTTGATCCAGTTCCCCTACCTCTGCCTCCAGTCATATTTCTTGAATGTAGCAAGTCTATTATGGTTAGGAAATTTGAATTGTAGAGCTATGATATCCTGCACCTGGCAGTAAAACAAAAGGTGTTTTTGTTGTGTGCCAATGATAGAGACGAGCAAGCTTGTTTCCGTTGATCTTAAAAATTATTTAGGTTGGTATGCATCGAGTTTTAGATAATTTTATGTTTTCACATACCTTGCTGGTGAAATTGAGCTGGAAAATACTGAAATAAATGTGAAGCTCTTTTAAGACTATCTCAACCATCAGCAATAGACATGTCTACTACGAAGATTAGAAACAGTAAAGCTGCCAGTACCATGCCTGTGGGTCCTGAAATTTTTATTTTGCAAAGGCTACATTTTACTTTGTTTACTACTACTTTGTATTCTATTTTAGAAAACTAGATATTCATTTTCCTACTTTTCCTGTTATAAGCATTGAGCTTATTTTACGAGTTACTACTCCATGATTACAATACATCTAATTTCTTCACTCTATTCTCTGCATAATTACATGACTCCATTTAACTTTTTAACTTTTAGCTAAATATACCAACCATAGTAATGTCCTGTGCACCTTCTGGCCACATGTCCGAGATAACAGGATCTGAAGAACTATACATCAGCCTCTTGAAGTCCTGGAACAGTGTGTCCTTGTTCTTTTCCAAGAAACCTTTGATACTGTACACAACATCTCCAGCATAGTGCCTGTCATTAAAGAATAATATCAGTTAATTTAAAATATATAAACACAAGCTTTTACAATATATATATATATATATCCTAGGTAGTAGGTTGGTAGACAGCAACCACCCAGGGAGGTACTACCGTCCTGCCAAGTGAGTGTAAAACGAAGCCTGTGATTGTTTTACATGATGGTAGGATTGCTGATGTCTTTTGTCTGTCTCATAAATATGCAAGATTACAGGCATGTCTTGCTACTTCTACTTACACTTAGGTCACACTACACATACATGTACACATTTATTTATACACACTCATCTGAGTTTTCTTTGATTTTATCTTAATAGTTCTTGGTCTTATTAATTTTCCTTTTATATCCATGGGGAAGTGGAATAAGAATCTTTCCTCCGTAAGCCATGCGTGTTGTAAAAGTCAACTAAAATGCCGGGAACAATGGGCTAGTAACCCCTTTTCCTGTAAAGATTACTAAAAAGAATAAGAAGAAGAAAATTGTCAAAGTGGGAAGTCTGAATGTGCGTGGATGTTGTGCAGATGATAAGAAAGAGATGATTGTGGATGTTATGAATGAGAAGAAGCTGGATGTCCTGGCTTTAAGTGAAACAAAGCTGAAGGGGGTGGGAGAGTTTCAGTGGAGAGGAATAAATGGGATTAGGTCAGGGGTTTCAAATAGAGTTAGAGCTAAAGAAGGAGTAGCAATAATGTTGAAGGATAAGCTATGGCAGGAAAAGAGGGACTATAAATGTATTAATTCAAGGATTATGTGGAGTAAAATAAAGATTGGATGTGAAAAGTGGGTTATAATAAGCGTGTATGCACCTGGAGAAGAGAGAAGTGTAGAGGAGAGAGAGAGATTTTGGGAAATGTTGAGTGAATGCGTGGGGAGTTTTGAATCAAGTGTGAGAGTAATGGTGGTTGGGGATTTTAATGCTAAAGTGGGTAAAAATGTTATGGAGGGAGTAGTAGGTAAATTTGGGGTGCCAGGGGTAAATGTAAATGGGGAGCCTTTAATTGAGCTATGTGTAGAAAGAAATTTGGTAATAAGTAATACATATTTTATGAAAAAGAGGATAAATAAATATACAAGGTATGATGTAGCACGTAATGAAAGTAGTTTATTAGATTATGTATTGGTGGATAAAAGGTTGATGGGTAGGCTCCAGGATGTACATGTTTATAGAGGGGCAACTGATATATCGGATCATTATTTAGTTGTAGCTACAGTTAGAGTAAGAGGTAGATGGGAAAAGAGGAAGGTGGCAACAACAAGTAAGAGGGAGGTGAAAGTGTATAAACTAAGGGAGGAGGAAGTTCGGGTGAGATATAAGCGACTATTGGCAGAAAGGTGGGCTAGTGCAAAGATGAGTAGTGGGGGGGTTGAAGAGGGTTGGAATAGTTTTAAAAATGCAGTATTAGAATGTGGGGCAGAAGTTTGTGGTTATAGGAGGGTGGGGGCAGGAGGAAAGAGGAGTGATTGGTGGAATGATGAAGTAAAGGGTGTGATAAAAGAGAAAAAGGTAGCTTATGAGAGGTTTTTACAAAGCAGAAGTGTTATAAGAAGAGCAGAGTATATGGAGAGTAAAAGAAAGGTAAAGAGAGTGGTGAGAGAGTGCAAAAGGAGAGCAGATGATAGAGTGGGAGAGGCACTGTCAAGAAATTTTAATGAAAATAAGAAAAAATTTTGGAGTGAGTTAAACAAGTTAAGAAAGCCTAGGGAAAATATGGATTTGTCAGTTAAAAACAGAGTAGGGGAGTTAGTAGATGGGGAGATGGAGGTATTGGGTAGATGGCGAGAATATTTTGAGGAACTTTTAAATGTTAAGGAAGAAACAGAGGCAGTAATTTCATGCACTGGTCAGGGAGGTATACCATCTTTTAGGAGTGAAGAAGAGCAGAATGTAAGTGTGGGGGAGGTACGTGAGGCATTACGTAAAATGAAAGGGGGTAAAGCAGCTGGAACTGATGGGATCATGACAGAAATGTTAAAAGCAGGGGGGGATATAGTGTTGGAGTGGTTGGTACTTTTGTTTAATAAATGTATGAAAGAGGGGAAGGTACCTAGGGATTGGCAGAGAGCATGTATAGTCCCTTTATATAAAGGGAAAGGGGACAAAAGAGACTGTAAAAATTATAGAGGAATAAGCTTACTGAGTATACCAGGAAAAGTGTACGGTAGGGTTATAATTGAAAGAATTAGAGGTAAGACAGAATGTAGGATTGCGGATGAGCAAGGAGGTTTTAGAGTGGGTAGGGGATGTGTAGATCAGGTGTTTACATTGAAGCATATATGTGAACAGTATTTAGATAAAGATAGGGAAGTTTTTATTGCATTTATGGATTTAGAAAAGGCATATGATAGAGTGGATAGAGGAGCAATGTGGCAGATGTTGCAAGTATATGGAATAGGTGGTAAGTTATTAAATGCTGTAAAGAGTTTTTATGAGGATAGTGAGGCTCAGGTTAGGGTGTGTAGAAGAGAGGGAGACTACTTCCCGGTAAAAGTAGGTCTTAGACAGGGATGTGTAATGTCACCATGGTTGTTTAATATATTTATAGATGGGGTTGTAAAGGAAGTAATTGCTAGGGTGTTTGGGAGAGGGGTGGGATTAAATTATGGGAATCAAATTCAAAATGGGAATTGACACAGTTACTTTTTGCTGATGATACTGTGCTTATGGGAGATTCTAAAGAAAAATTGCAAAGGTTAGTGGATGAGTTTGGGAATGTGTGTAAAGGTAGAAAGTTGAAAGTGAACATAGAAAAGAGTAAGGTGATGAGGGTGTCAAATGATTTAGATAAAGAAAAATTGGATATCAAATTGGGGAGGAGGAGTATGGAAGAAGTGAATGTTTTCAGATACTTGGGAGTTGACGTGTCGGCGGATGGATTTATGAAGGATGAGGTTAATCATAGAATTGATGAGGGAAAAAAGGTGAGTGGTGCGTTGAGGTATATGTGGAGTCAAAAAACGATATCTATGGAGGCAAAGAAGGGAATGTATGAAAGTATAGTAGTACCAACACTCTTATATGGGTGTGAAGCTTGGGTGGTAAATGCAGCAGCGAGGAGACGGTTGGAGGCAGCGGAGATGTCCTGTTTAAGGGCAATGTGTGGTGTAAATATTATGCAGAAAATTCGGAGTGTGGAAATTAGGAGAAGGTGTGGAGTTAATAAAAGTATTAGTCAGAGGGCAGAAGAGGGGTTGTTGAGGTGGTTTGGTCATTTAGAGAGAATGGATCACAGTAGAATGACATGGAAAGCATATAAATCTATAGGGGAAGGAAGGCGGGGTAGGGGTCGTCCTCGAAAGGGTTGGAGAGAGGGGGTAAAGGAGGTTTTGTGGGTAAGGGGCTTGGACTTCCAGCAAGCGTGCGTGAGCGTGTTAGATAGGAGTGAATGGAGACGAATGGTACTTGGGACCTGACGATCTGTTGGAGTGTGAGCAGGGTAATATTTAGTGAAGGGATTCAGGGAAACCGGTTATTTTCATATAGTCGGACTTGAGTCCTGGAAATGGGAAGTACAATGCCTGCACTTTAAAGGAGGGGTTTGGGATATTGGCAGTTTGGAGGGATATGTTGTGTATCTTTATATGTTTATGCTTCTAGACTGTTGTATTCTGAGCACCTCTGCAAAAACAGTGATAATGTGCGAGTGTGGTGAAAGTGTTGAATGATGATGAAAGTATTTTCTTTTTGGGGATTTTCTTTCTTTTTTGGGTCACCCTGCCTCGGTGGGAGACGGCCGACTTGTTGAAAAAAAAAAAAAAAAAAAGTAGGTTGGTAGACAGCAACCACCCAGGGAGGTACTACCGTCCTGCCAAGTGAGTGTAAAACGAAAACCTGTAATGGTTTTACATTACAGGATTGCTGGTGTCCTTTTTTCTGTCTCATTAACATGCAAGATTTCAGGTACATCTTGCTACTTCTACTTACACTTAGGTCACACTACACATACATTTACAAGCATATATATATATACACCCCTCTGGGTTTTCTTCTATTTTCTTACTAGTTCTCGGTCTTGTTTATTTCCTCTTATCTCCATGGGGAAGTGGAACAGAATTCTTCCTCCCTAAGCCATGTGTCTTGTAAGAGGCGACTAAAATGCCAGGAGCATGGGGGTAGTAACCCCTTCTCCTGTATACATTACTAAATTTAAAAAGAGAAACTTTTGTTTTTCTTTTTGGGTCACCCTGCCTTGGTGAGATATGGCCAGTTCGTTGAAAGAAGAACTTTACTTGTAATGGATATTTCCTAGTTTAGCACATCTGATGTGTGCTACATAACTGCTGATTAATCTTATCTAGACAACCAGAATGAACACCAACACACTCATTATTACTTAAGCCTTTTGAACAGCTCTTCTTTCCCACATTTTTACAGATGCAAAGTTCACATTCAATCTCATTATTACCTACTTTATTCTGAATTCTTCCACATGCTTCAGTTCTTTGTCCATGGGTGAGAGTTTGCGTGTAGTGAAGTGGTTATGTCCCTTCAGTTTGTTCTCCATAGCTTCAAGCAGCATCTAAAAGCACACGCAAAAGTTGGAAAAATAAACACAAGAGGAATTGGATACCAATCATTACTGTTCTCCAAATAATAAGCTACTGGAAGATACAATAATAATACAATAAAAGATACAATAAAAATAAAGTAGTACTCTGAAAAACAGGTTCATGATACAATATTTCTTTGTAGATCTCTCACAAATTTATACTTTGGTTTATTAAAGTAGTACTTCCACTAAGGAGATAAATGTCTCAAACATATTAACCCTTAAATGGTCCAAACGTATATATACGTTTTTTCAACATCTGAAAGTATGTAAAAAAATGTAGATCTTCTTTTTTGTTTTACATTTGAAAACGTGTAAAAAAAGTTTTATATACATTTTTTTTGTTATATTTGAAAATATGTAAAAAAAAGTAGATCTACTTTTGTAGCAATACGAATTTGAACGTCAATCTGTTTGGACCGTTCAAGGGTTAAGTACAATAAATGAAATGAGCTATAAAATTTCACTCTGCTAAAGGCTAGCACTTAACTAAAATTAATGCAATATTAAGTGACATAACTGATCTCAACATAGAACAACAACTGAGAATGAGTATTTTTTATCAGCCATCTTGATTAAGATTTCATTATAAATGAATTACAGTGGTCCCCCGCTTTTCGTAGTTCCCGGCAATCGTAAATTTCGCCAATCATAGGGGTATTTTCGTATAAACATGGACTTGCTTTTCATAGGTTGACTCGCGAATCGTAGTTCGTCCGGGACGCGTACCCACGGCGTGAGCCGGGGTGGCAGCCAGTCTGGCATTGTTTACCAGTGAGCGAAGGTCCCCTCACGTGCTCCAGCGAAATATTTCATAATATTCCATTTATTTTAGTGCTTGCAAGTACTAAATAAGCTACCATGGCTCCAAAGAAAGCTCCTAGTGCCAAGCCTGTGGTAAAGAAGGTGAGAAATACGATTGAATTTAAGAAAACCATCACTGAACAATATGAAAGTGGTACAAGTGTGGCCGAACTGTCCAGGATGTATAAGAAACCCTACACAACCTTATGTTCCATAGTGGCCAAGAAAAAGGAAATAAAGGATGCTGTTGTTGCAAAGGGAGTAACTATGCTGACAAAAATGAGATCACCAGTACTCGAAGAGGTTGAGAAGTTATTATTGGTGTAGATAAATGAGAAACAATTAGCAGGAGATACTCTTATGACTTCGATTATTTGTGAAAAGGCTAGGCAGTTGCATGAAGATTTGGTAAAGAAATTGCCTGCAAATAGTGGTGAAGTGAGTGAATTTAAGGCCAGCAAAGGCTGGGTTGAGAGATTTAAGAACCGTACTGGCATACACAGTGTGGTAAGGCATGGCGAGGCTGCTAGTTCGGACCACAAGGCGGCTGAGAAATATGTGCATGAATTCCAGGAGTACATAGAGGCTGAAGGACTGAAACCTGAACAAGTGTTCAATTGTGACGAAACAGGCCTCTTTTGGAAGAAAATGCCAAAGAGGACCTTCATTACACAAGAGGAAAAGGCAATGTCAGGACACAAGTCTATGAAAGACAGGCTGACGCTAATGTTCTGTGCTAATGCTAGTGGAGATTTCAAAGTGAAGCCATCACTAGTGTACCATTCTGAAAATCCCAGAGTGTTCAGGAAAAACAATGTTATGAAGAGTAAATTGTGTGTGTTTTGGAAATCTAATAGTAAGGCATGGGTCACCAGGGAAATTTTCGTCGAGTGGTTCAATGAAGTGTTTGGCCCTAGTGTGAAGGAGTATCTCCTGGAAAAGAAATTGGATCTCAAGTGCCTGCTAGTAATGGACAATGCACCTGCTCATCCTCCAAACTTGGATGACCTAATTTTCGAGGAGTTTGGGTTCATCACAGTAAAGTTCTTGCCCCCGAATACCACTCCTCTCCTCCAACCCATGGACCAGCAGGTTATTGCAAACTTTAAAAAACTCTACACAAAAGCAATGTTTCACAGGTGCTTGACTGTGATCACAGACACTCACTTGACCCTAAGGGAATTTTGGAGAGAACACTTCAGCATCCTCCACTGCATAACCCTTAAAGGTATGGCTTGGGAGGGAGTGACTACCAGGACTTTGAACTCTGCCTGGAGAAAATTGTGGCCAGATTGTGTCGACAAGAGGGATTTTGAAAGATTTGGGACTGACCCTAATGAGCCTATGTCTGTTGTAAAATCAATTGTGGCACTGGGGAGTTCCATGGGGTTGGATGTGAGTTTGGAGGATGTGGAAGAATTGGTAGAAGACCACAATGAAGAGCTCACCACTGAGGAGCTGCAAGAGCTTCAGCAGGAAGAGCAACACATCGCAGCTCAGAATCTTGCTGCAGAGGAGGAGGAAGAGAGATGGAAGAAGGTGCCTTCTTCAGAAATTAAAGAGATTTTTACTATGTGGGGTAAGATGGAAAGCTTTATGGAGAAACATCACCCTAACAAGGTTGTTGCAAGCCAGGTTGGCAACATGTACAGTGACAAAGTCTTGGACCATTTTAGGGAAGTGTTAAAGAGACGCCAGAAACAGAGCTCTCTCCACAGTTATTTTGTGAGACAGGACTCCAGTGACTCTCAAGGTGGTCCTAGTGGCATTAAGAAACAGAGAAGAGAAGCAACCTCAGAAAACCAAATGGTATCTGAGGTGTTGATGGAAGGGGATTCCCCTTCCAAACTAAAAACAATCCACTCTCTCTCCTCCTCCAGTCTCCCATACACTAAGAAGAATCTCCAATAAAGGTAAGTGTTATGCTGTAAATGTTTCATTCAACATTTCCCATTGTATTGTTTATGTACTACATGTATATTTCATGTTAAAAATTTTTTTGTTTTAATACTTCTGGGTGTCAGGAATGGATTAATTGTATTTACATTATTTCTTATGGGGAAAATTGATTCGTAAATCGTAAATTTCATTTATAGTAACGGCTCCAGGAACGGATTAATTACAAAAAACAAGGGACCACTGTACTTTATAACCATTATACCCCTTTTTCTACCAACGAAACTGGCACTCTCGGGGCAGAAGCCATCACAATTTCAAACAAATTTGTCAAATAGGTCTGTGATGTAACTGAGTAGTTTCAAGAATTTTCCATACTCTCATAGCCCAGCCTGGGAACCAGGCTTTTTCTAATGATAGCCTGGTCAATCAGGCTGTTGCTGTTGGCACCTCTGGCCCAAACATCCATCACTGTCTGGTTGATCTGGCACTTGGCAGAGGTAGTGATCTAGTTTTCTCTTTAAAACTTCTGTATTTGTTAATGGAGTATTTTTTTTTTATATCAGCTGGTAGCATGTTAAATAGCCAAGGACCACGGACGCTGACAGTGCTCTCTTATTGTGCCTATGAAACAACCGCTTTTCACTGGGTTTATTTTACACTTCCTCCTATATCACTCAGCTAAGTACAGTAAACCTTCAATATAATGGACTTTTAAAAATATGAGCAAAATCCACTGGGAAAATTGTACTTTTAACTTAGTAATTTTCAATGATTATTACAGTATATCTGTAAATTGTGTTAATTATTATATCAAGTGAACAGTAGAGTACTTTAGTATATTTTATTGCTATTTTCTAGTATACCGATATATATTACACCCCCATCAGTCCATTACACCGAGGGTATACTGTATGTTATGACAATACACAGGTATGGGACTAGGCAGTGTAAATTACAGTGCTGTACTAAAATACCAAAATGTAAAATTATACAGAGCTTTATCTATGTGAAATTTTACCTGATCTGTCACTTTGCCAACATTGAGACATGCTTCATCAGTTATTGCAATGATTCCCTTATGTGGCTGCTCAACCAAATCACATATAATTTGATTGTTGAAATATTCAATATTCTGCCAAGCAATGCCCTCCCTCTTGTACTCTTCTTGCTCTTGCTTTAATACAAGTTCTGCAGAGAATATATATATTTAAATTATTATTAACCTGTTAGGATATACATGACAAATCTTTGTTTCAGAGGTAACAAAACTTATAGTTCATGTGGAAAGTGTGTGTGCTGGAAAGAGTAGTGTGAAGCTACATCAATCAAGACTGTTTGTGAGGGCAGTGTAAAGCTATAGCAATCAAGACTGTGTGATGGCAAGAGTAGGGTAAGGCTATAGTAATCAAGACTGCTGCAACTGTACCAAATTTAAGGAAAAGTTATCAAGTCAAACTTTAACAAAGGAAAATAATGAAAGCTTAAGATTTCTACAGGTAGCCCTCAATGTGTCAGTACAAGTAGCAAATAAAATGCATTGATGGATAAATTATCTTCTGAAATAGGAAAGCTTGTAAAAACAAAGGTACTATATATTAGGTCAGGTCAGAATATGATTTATGTATTACAAACACACAATTCTTCTATATATAATGCCTGGTTCAACTTTTGAAATAATGCTATAGTGTGATACTTAAATATTCAGTAAGATATCAATCACCATAAGACTAAAAAATTGTCTTATTAAAAATTAAAAATAAAATAAAAAATTCATGGAATCAAAGATAAAACTTAAATTCAGAGATACAGTTCCACATTCCTTTATCCAAAATTCTGAAATTCAAAAAGTTCTGAAAACCGAAGTTTTTTCATGGAGTATGAGTCATCTCTACAACACTCCAACGCCGCCAGTTGTGTCTCAGCGCTTGTAGTGTTCACACGTGCGTCTGCTGTTCGCTGATATTTTGTTTTTGCTTTTTATTTTGTGACTGTTTAATTTTACTGTGAAAATGTCAAAAAGAGCTACAGATACCCTTATGGGTAACAGTGAAAAAAAGAAAAAGAAGCATCTGAAATTATCAATAACGCAGAAAGTAGAGTTACTGCAGAAGCTTGATCGTGGTGTGTCAGTGTAGCATCTTACTGAAGAATGTGGTGTTGGAACTACCACTGTTTATGATTTAAAGAAACAGAAAGACAAGTTACTGAAGTATTATAGTGACAGTGATGACCAAAAGCTAATGAAAAATAGGAAAATACTGCATAAGGCAAAAAATGCAGATCCTGACTGTGTGCTAATGGAATTACAGGAAGCTGGCATCGAAGAAATGCTGAACATTGACAATGATGCATCTGTTGTGCATTCCTTGAGTGATGGTGAAATTGCTGAAATGGTGTTAAATACAAATAAGCAATTGCTGGCAATCAGTGGCAATGTACTCAGTTGAAGAGAGATTGCTTAGACAGAAACCTAGGTTAATAAGGCAGATGACACTTGAAGAAGTCTTTAAAAATGCCATCTGTCAAACATCTTGAGAATCATGTTCCTGGTCTATAATTATCCCATTATTTTATTGATCAATAGATTACTCTAAAAATAAACCGTAGTAGTATTTGTAGTCTTTATTTATCCCACTTAGTGTGAGTATTCATACATTTTTGCTGCAGTGCTGCCTTAGACCCCACCTTCATTCTGAAATTCGAAACACTACTGGCCCCAAGGGTTTCGGATGACGGAATGTGGACCTGTATAAATGATTCATCTAAATTGTTTGTTACATAAACTTACCAATGAAGAGCTGTTGTAGCTTCTCGTTACAATAATTGATACAAAATTGCTCAAAACTGTTTTGTTCAAATATTTCAAATCCATAAATATCCAAGACACCAATGACAGTGTTGTATTTGTAGCGGGCAGCTAGACCTTCATAGCGAACCTCAATGGCTTTATTTACACCTTCCACAATGAAGGAGAAGAGTCTCTCATAGATGGCCTGCAATACATTGATTTTTTAGAGCAGTCATTATATGAAGTAAAAGGACACAGCAGAAACTAATGAAATATTTATAAACATTAAAAATTAAAAATAAATGTCTAAATTTTGCTATCTATCTAAAGAAAAATTGGATATCACATTGGAGAGAGGGAATATGGAAGAAGCGAATGCTTTCAGATATTTGGGAGTTGACCTGTCAGCAGATGGGCTTATGAAGGATGAGGTTAACCACAGAATTGATGAAGGAAAAAAAGCGAGTGGTGCATTGAGGTATATGTGGAGACAAAAATCGTTATCCATGGAGGCAAAGAAGGGAATGTACGAGAGTATAGTGGTACCAACACTCTTATATGGGTGTAAAGCATAGGTTGTAAATGCTGCAGCGAGGTGGCGGCTGGAGGCAGTGGAGATGTCCTAAAGGCAATGTGCGGTGTAAATACTGTATTATGCAGAGAATTCATAGTGTGGAAATTAGGAGGTGGTGCAGAGTTACTAAAAGTATTAGTCAAAGGGATGAAGAGGGGCTGTTGAGATGGTTTGGTCATTTAGAGAGAATGAACAAAGTAGAATGACTTGGAGAGTATATAAATCTCTAGAGGAAGGAAGGCGGGGTGGGGGTTGGCCCCGAAAAGGTTGGAGGGAGGGGGATAAAGGAGGTTTTGTGGGCGAGGGGCTTGGACTTCCAGCAAGCGTGCGTGAGCGTGTTAGATAGGAATGAATGAAGACAAATGGTTTTTGGGACCTGACAAGCTGTTGGAGTGTGAGCAGGGTAGTATTTAGTGAAGGGATTCAAGGAAACTGGTTATTTTTATATAGCCGGATTTGAGTATTGGAAATGGGAAGTACAATGCCTGCACTTTAACCCTTAAACTGTCCAAGCGTAGATCTACGTTTGCACGCGTAGCGCTCCAAACGTATATCGTTTTATTTTTCATTCCTTCAAATTTAGCACAATAGGCTCGAGTCGCCTAGACATGAAAGAATGGGTCTGAGCACTCAGTGTGCGCAGTATTAAAAAAATCTGGGAGCACTTAGTACCTTGTGGGAGCACCAGTTCAATTGAGCACCAGCTCCAGCTGGCGCTCAATTGAACTGGAGGAAAGTAAAAATAGGTTAGATAAATACATGAGTGAGTATGGGTGGGTGTGAGTTGGACCTGACTAGCTTGTGCTACTAGGTCTGATGTCATGCTCCTTCCTTCAATGAATGTGACCTGACTAGGTGGGCCATTGGTCTAAGCCAGGGGGTGGGGGGGACAAGTACCTGCCTTGCATGGGCCAGTAGGCCTTCTGCAGTGTTCTTTCTTTCTTATGTTCTCATGTATTTGGCAGGCTGGCTTGCTTTGGCTGTCTCTTCTGTCTATATTGTCTATCTATATCTCTGTCTATATCTTTATCTATATCTGTATCTATGTCTCACATGTACACATAAGTACAGTTATTATACATAGTGTAAATTACCTAGGATAGTCCAAAAATTCCAGGCAGAGATAGAAAGACAGACAGAAACATCTTTGTGTGTATCAGTGAAAACAAATAAAGCCAGGGTTCCCCCAAGCACCCATTTATCAAATGTCATGGAGCTGATAACAGATGTCATAACACGATTCTTCAAGGAGTGTGATATACATATACTCCAGGCAGACAGAAAGACAGACAAGCAGAGACGGACAGGCAGGCAGATAGACAAACAAATAGACAGAGACAAGACGTGTGTGTGTAACAGTGATAACAAATACAGCAAGGGTTAGCTGGAGCAGTGGGCATTTATCAAATGTTACTAGGCTGTCAAGAGTATAGGGATGCCTTTCATAACATCATGCTTCAAGGTATATGCCAGGGTATCTAAAACATTGCTGGGACCTATAAATACTTTGTATATATTTCTAGACAACAGTAAATAACCCAAGCAGGTGTATATGTTCACCTGTCAATGTGATTGTGACTATTTGAACACTATTTCAGAACCTAATATTAATTCAGAACAAAGATTAGCTACGAAATTACAAGAACTATTATAAATTGTAATTATCAGAACATAAAAAATATATAAATTAAAATAAAAACGAGGGGTAGGGGTCGTCCTCGAAAGGGTTGGAAAGAGGGGGTAAAGGAGGTTTTGTGGGTGAGGGGCTTGGACTTCCAGCAAGCGTGCATGAGCGTGTTAGATAGGAGTGAATGGAGACGAATGATACTTGGGACCTGACGATCTGTTGGAGTGTGAGCAGGGTAATATTTAGTGAAGGGATTCAGGGAAACCGGTTATTTTCATATAGTCGGACTTGAGTCCTGGAAATGGGAAGTACAATGCCTGCACTTTAAAGGAGGGGTTTGGGATATTGGCAGTTTGGAGGGATATGTTGTGTATCTCTATACGTATATGCTTCTAAACTGTTATATTCTGAGCACCTCTGCAAAAGCAGTGATAATGTGTGAGTGTGGTGAAAGTGTTGAATGATGATGAAAGTATTTTCTTTTTGGGGATTTTCTTTCTTTTTTGGGTCACCCTGCCTCGGTGGGAGACGACCGACTTGTTGAAAAAAAAAAAAAAAAAAAAAAAAAACGAGAAAAAAAGGTATGTCGACAACACTCTGCAAGTAGCAGGAGTTGATGTTGCTGACAGGTGAGCATCCAGAGCCAACTTCACAGTCTTATATCTCAGTAAGTACTGACCCTAAAATGTTTTTTAATCCTATCACATGTAGAAAAATGTGCTCTTCATTTTAAAAGAAACAAAAAAAAAAAGAAAAACGATTTTTTTTATTTTTCAAAATATTCGGAGCACCATGCAAGTGAACCTAGATCTACGTTTAGACAATTTAAGGGTTAAAGAGGGGGGTTTGGGATATTGGCAGTTTGGAGGGATATACAACATCTCTTTATATATGTTTCTAGACTGTTGTATCTGGGAACCTCTGCAAAGACAGTGATTATGTATGAGTGAGGTGAAAGTGTTGAATGATGATGAAATTATTTTCTTTTTGGGGATTTTCTTTCTTTTTGGATTACCCTGCCTACAGGTGGGAGATGGCCAACTTGTTGAAAAAAAACACATGCATGCACACACACACACACACACCCCTCTCTGGGTTTTCTTCTATTTTCTTACTAGTTCTTGTTCTTGTTTATTTCATCTTATCTCCATGGGGAAGTGGAACAGAATTCTTCCTCTGTAAGCCATGCATGTCATAGGAGGCGACTATGCCAGGAACAGGGGGCTAGTAACCCCTTCTCCTGTATACATTACAAAATTTAAAATGAGAGACTTTCATTATTTTCTTTTTTTTTTTTTGGCCACCCTGCCTCAGTGGAAGATGGCCAACTTGTTATAAAAAAAAAAATTTTTACCCGACAGTAATCTTTCCCAATTTCTTGGGAAACCTGTAGTGAGATTTGGCTTATTAAATTCCTGAATAACTAGTTAACAACAAAAGCAGTAGCCACTGTAGAGGTTTATAAAAATGAGGAAAATCTCACATATATGAACGGTATCAGTACAAGGTTGTCATTGTGGATTCGTATCCAATGTGACTTGTAAGGCTAAGGAACCCATGACATCACATCATGCAAAACCTCAACAGACATATAATACCAAAAGAACAAAACATCTCTTAGCCAGCTAGTTAAATCCTGAATGAAAGCAGCCCGAGGATTTCAATAAAAAAAAAATTAGGTCACACATTAAAGAGTGAAAGCTTTAATGCTTATCGAGAGTGGATTGAAAGATTTAAGAAACGTATCAGTCTGCACAACACTTGACTAACTACTGAGACTCATAATGCTAATAGAGAGGCTGCCTCATATCATTACATAATATTGATGACTAACAGTATAGTGCATAAATAACAGTAAGGCTGTGTTTATTAAATGCTTTGTGTACAATAATCAACATCAAAAACTTCAGAGTACTGCATGTAAAAATTACATACAATCAAAACACACACCAGAGATAGTTTTCTAGAAAACTGTATAAATTACTTTGTTGATGCATCATAAATAAATTTTTCAATACAAATTTTGAAGGTAAAATTATGTATCTGAAAGGAAAACATTAAAAAAAAAAAAAAAAAAATGATGTACGAATAGAACACTGGCAATATTTCTTTATCACACCAAGGAATTGCTTCTTACCAGTATTATATCTTACCTTGGCAAATGCATCTCGACCAAATGTGGCCTCACTTTCTGTATGGCGCTTCTCCATGACCTCTCCACGTGCTGCTATGACCCTGTGGCAGAGTGCTTTCCTCACCTCATCTGGAGAAACATGTAGCAGCTCTGCAATGTTTTTCACAACTTTGGGATTCTGGATCTGGGTTTCATCTCCACCAGAGGAGAATTCAATATTACCCTGGAAATATAACAAATTTACCTATACATTACAATAATTCATATACATATCAGTCAAATTAATAGTGCAATACTCTAATAACAGAGGGATATTAATACTATACAAACTATCTTGCTCCCATCTACATGATCATATTAACCTCATCTTTAATTAAGTCTGACATTAGCAAGAATGCATCTCAAAACAGCTGATTAATACTTGGTTACCTATTTACTACTAGGTGAGCAGGAGCAGAGTGCAACAATTGACTTGATATATATGCCTTGTCCTGCCCAAGATGCAAACCCAAGACCAGTAAATATTGACTTGACTGTAATAACCACCAAGTGAAAAGTTGCCACACAGTATTCTAATTTATCTATTACTTATTCTCTGTATAATATTCACCATACATACTGATCTAATATGACATTTCCAACAGTTTCAACCTCTTCCTTACTTTAACATTAACCCTTTGAGGGTCCGTGCCGTAGATCTACGGCTTTATGTTGAGGGTCCAAACCGTACATCTACGTCATGAGCTCAGCTCACTCTGATAAGCTGTGAGCAGTAAATTTTGGCCTAGATATGAGAGAATTCATCTATGTGGTATGTGTGCACCACATAAAACAAATCCTGCATCACATAGTGCATAATGAGAGAAAAAACTGAGACCATAATTTTCGATGTTAAATTTTTGCCGATGTTCAAGAGTAAACAAATGACCTCATATGTCTAATACACGCCTGCTGGTGGGTCTAATATATATTCACAAATGTGGTGATATTATTTATACAATTATTACAATATTGCATAACAGTAAATCTTCTATTTTTTGGTTTGAATAAATATTTATTATGTGAATAAAAAATCAAAATGGAATTCATTAGTAAAGCCTGAAAACCTAATTAATGAACAGGGGAAATGTTAGTTTAGTGCCAGGAATGCCTGCATTGTTTATTCTGGATCCTATTTTAAAATTGGAGTATTTTGAACTTTGCATTAAATTGGCCAAATTACTAATTTCCGATCACTTTATTTTGTAGTTGAAACAGTTGACCTGGCAAATTCTTGTGCTCAATCGATAGAATAGAAGTAATACTAGTGAAATAGCTAAGAATTTGGTCGATTGGAATAATGTAATTGGCCTAAAATGGGAGTCAAAGTCGGCAAAATCGCCGATGCGTAAATATCACTGACACATCAAAATTCGCAAGAGCACAATTTCGTCAATTTTCCATCAAATTTTGTACTTTTTGTTTTATTACCTTCAGAAAAAGATTCTCTACCATTTCATAAGAAAAAATAACAAAATTATTTTTTTAAAATTCTTGGACACTGGTGCACACTTTGAAATTTGGCCTCTGGATCCTGAAAGGGTTAAAAACCACATTCACATACATACAAAACATACATTACCTATATATTTCCACAATTTCCCTAACACTCCTGCAAATTTCATTCTCTCTTCTCTTTTGTAAATTACCTAGTCCTTCACAGACCCATCTGTTGATACAGTTACATTTAAGTTTCTAGATTCAAACCAAATTTCTCATCTTTTGGGAACACAGATTTTGAAAATTTCATAGCATTTACCAAGTCTATTAACATGCAACAGAAAATGATACAGAACACATCCTTTTTCAAGTCACATACAGGTACTTATTGAAAACCATATCCTTTCTGCCTTCTCTCAAACACATTCATAATTATTATAGAGGAAATATTCTCCACTACTGTACTGGACACTACAGGTACTATCTCAGAGGTGCTGTTTGTGACCTTTATAAAAAGTTGATCTGGGTGAACATACTTTCAGTATCTTATTAAGTGGTTTCCTCCATTTTCTGGCTATCTATAAAATGTTTTAATTATAGAGTTTTCATAATCTTTTAAAAAACTTGCATGCCCCTTTCCATCTTGTTTCTTCTCTTTTAGTCTCTCACTTTCATGAGCGTGCCGATGAAGTCTTCAATACAACGTATAGTAGTACACAGTAACAGCAGTTTGCTAGACTATGTATTAATAGATAAAAAAAAGCTGATAGGCTATCTTCTGGAGGTGAATGGTTTTAAAGGAGATATTGATATGCAAGATCATTTACTGGTAGCTACATTAAGAGAAAGAGGCAGATGGACTACAAGGCAGATGAAGTACAAGGAGAATGGTCTCAGTGAGAAAATGTGGTGAAAGTCAATTAACTGAAGAAGAAAACACTAAAGATATAGGCAATGAGGTCAGAGATATATAGAGTAGATATAAGAATGCAGTGCTAGAGTGTGCAACAGGAGTTTGTGATTATAGGAGGGTTGGCACAGTGGGATGAGGAATGTCTGGTGAAATGATGAGGTAAAGAGGGTGGTAAGGGGAAAAAAAAGTGGGTATACGAAAGTTTTTTCAAATTAGAACTTGTGTCAGCATGTTAGACTGAATGGATGCATTCAGAAGGCAACTGGCAACATGGATGGCTGTTTACAACAGCCTTCCTACAAAAACAATGGATTCACCCAGATGAAGAGGGAAAATATCCCATTACACAATCAAGCCAGATTTCATTCAAGAATATGACATATGCTTATCCTCCCCCCCAACTTATGGTACAATTGCACAATCACTTTCCAACAAAATGTATATTTGGGTACAAAATTTCTATTGTGATTTACTGAATACATGATTTATGGCTGCATGAAATATGAGTTATCTGTAAACTATTTATACAGTATTTCTCAATACTAAATTTCAATCTAATTAACACGTCTATTTGCTTCCATTTGAACTTTGATGAAGGTATACAATACTTGACCAGTACTGCGATTTCCATTAATATGATCATAAAATATGAAATACTATTTGCAATTCATTACTCATACTTCCTTTTTTCTTACTCTCACTTTCAACTTCCCTTCCTAGAAGCACTTCCAAATACATATTTATATTTTCAAAACAGTAAAACAATACATACCAAGTGCAAAATTGCACCAACAATTCTCCAAACAGCATCAATCTGTTCAGGTGTGAACCCTAATGTCTTGAATGCCTGTTGGCAAGTCTTGTAGTCAGCTTTATCAGCGATGGAGTCTACTCGGGGTGTGCCCCCCTGACGAATGAAGTGGTACGAGTTGACATCCCGCTTCAACTTGAGGCGGGACAACTCAGAATCTGTAGCCCCAAATAAGACCTGACCAAGGTGGCAGATTTAAAGGTTAGTGCAACACTCATCACAAAAAGTATTTTCCTAAATAACCTACAAAAATAATACAGATGATATAATTACTGTACCTATGACTATAGTACTACTGTACACACAACAAATAATACACAAATAACACGCACATAGGAGAATGAAACTTATGACGACATTATGGTCCAACTTGAACCATTAAGTAGTCACGAAATGTTGTCATAAGTTTACTCCTATGTGTGGGTTATTTGTGTATTGTTCCAGGCACAGTATTGTGCCTTTTCACTACATACTATAACATTCAGATGTGCAAAGCATGTCAATGAAAAAATAATTTTACTGCAAGATGGGTTTGAGTTACAATAATTTAGAGATACTATTTAGCCTCAAAAAAATTTTGTTTTGAGTTGCAGTGAAATATTTTAAGAGACAATATGTGTATGATGGTGGGGCAGGTGTGGGTGGGTAGGCCTCAGCCCAGAGCAAGGAAGGCAAGTGGGAAGGAGGGAGGGTGAAAGGGATAAAGGCAGGAAGAGGAGGAAGGGAGACTATACCTGTTACAGATGTGGGGGTGCAAGACTGACAACAGTAAATACTGAATCTACAATTCTTTACCCATATTTGCCTGCTTGCTCGCCCAACCCTGCCTGCTCTGGCCTGACCTGTTCTGACCAGCTCTTTCTTGCCCTGTCTCCTGTGGCTTGCCCTGTCTGCCATGGCTTGTCCTTTCTTGCCCTGTCTGCCGTGGCTTGTCCTTTCTTGCCCTGTCTGCCGTGGCTTGTCCTTTCTTGCCCTGTCTGCCATGGCTTGTCCTTTCTTGCCCTGTCTGCTGTGGCTTGTCCTTTCTTGCCCTGTCTGCCATGGCTTGTCCTTTCTTGCCCTGTCTGCCATGGCTTGTCCTTTCTTGCCCTGTCTGCCATGGCTTGTCCTTTCTTGCCCTGTCTGCTGTGGCTTGTCCTTTCTTGCCCTATCTGCTGTGGCTTGTCCTTTCTTGCCCTATCTGCTGTGGCTTGTCCTTTCTTCCCCAGTCTGCTGTGGCTTGTCCTTTCTTCCCCAGTCTGCTGTGGCTTGTCCTTTCTTGTCCTGCCTGCTGTGGCTTGTCCTGTCCTGCCCTATCTGCTCTGGCTTGTCCTGTCCTGCCCTACTTGCTCAGGCTTGTCCTGTCCTGCCCTGCCTGCTCAGGCTTGTCCTGTCCTGCCCTACCTGCTCAGGCTTGTCCTGTCCTGCCCTACCTGCTCAGGCTTGTCCTATCCTGCCCTGCCTGCTCTGGCTTGTCCTGCCCTACCCTACCCATGCCTCTAGAGATTTCAAGCTGAAGCCTCTGCTTGTTGAGCACTCAGAAAAAAACCAGAGTATTAAAACAAAAATAAGTAGGGTGGGCGTGTTCTGGCAATTTGGAACAAATTAACATAAAACCATGTATATTGGGATTTGAGTTACGTCAGTTTTGACATAAAACTCGGGAACGAATTAATATCCTTCTAGCTTGAGGGACCACTATTTTTCTTTTCTTTTTTTAACAAGTCGGCCATCTCCCACTGAGGCAGGGCGACCCAAAAAAAAAGAAAATACTTTCATCATCATTCAACACTTTCACCTCACTCACACATAATCACTGTTTTTTGCAGAGGTGCTCAGAATACAACAGTTTAGAAGTAAATACATATAAAAATACACAATATATCCCTCCAAACTGCCAATATCCCAAATCCCTCCTTTAGAGTGCAGGCATTGTACTTCCCATTTCCAGGACTCAACTCCGGCTATATAAAATAACCGGTTTCCCTGAATCCCTTCACTAAATATTACCCTGCTCACACTCCAACAGCTCGTGAGGTCCCAAATACCATTCGTCTCCATTCACTATCTAACACACTCATGCACGCTTGTTGGAAGTCCAAGCCCCTTACCCACAAAACCTCCTTTACCCCCTCCCTCCAACCTTTTTGAGGACGACCCCTACCCTGCCTTCCTCGCCCTACAGATTTATACGCTATCCATGTCATTCTACTTTGATCCATTCTCTGTAAATGACTAAACCACTTCAACAACCCCTCTTCAGCCCTCTGACTAATACTTTTATGAACTCCACACCTTCCCCTAATAAATAAATATACACCTACCATCCGACTTACGACCTGCTCGACATACGACAACTCGACTTACGACCGTGTTTTTTATGCCAAATTTCTGGGAAATAAACAAGTGTTTGTGTTTTACACAGTGTTTATCCTAAACCTTACAGTATAAAATACAGTACTAACAGCATAAAAAGTAAAGTAAAACATGAAATACCAAAATAAAACAATAAAATAAAGTCATTACAAAAATGTTATGTTGATATTCAGTAGTAAAGTTCGACTTACATCCATTTTGACTTACAACCAGTTTCTCGGAATCGAACTCGGTCGTAAGTCGGATGGTAGGTGTATACATGCAGCAGGCATGTGAGAGCATGTTAGATAGGAGAGAATGGAGACAAGTGGTTTTTGGGAACTGATAAGCTGTTGGAGTGTGAGCAGTGTAATATTTTGTGAAGGGATTCAGGGAAACTGGTTAGCCGGACTTGAGTCCTGGAGGTAGGATGTACACTGCCTGCACTTTAACCCTTAAACGGTCCAAACAAATCGACGTTCAAATTCGTAGTGCTACAAAAGTAGATCTACTTTTTTTTAACATTTTCAAATGTAACAAAAAAAAAATGTAGATAATTTTTTTTTTTTTTACACGTTTTCAAATGTAAAACAAAAAAGAAGATCTACATTTTTTTACATACTTTCAGATGTTGAAAAATCGTATATATACGTTTGGACCATTTAAGGGTTAAGGGTTAAAAGAGGGTTTTGGGATACTGGCTGTTTGGAGTGACATCTAAATTGTTGTACTGAGTCTCTTGTAAAAAAAAGTGATTACGTGTGAATGACTGGGAAAGTGTTGAATGATGGTGAAAGTTTTTCTTTTTGGGGTCACCCTGCCTCGGTGGGAGACGGACGAAGTGTTAAAAAAAAAAAAAAAATTCACAATATACTGTATATAAAAAATTACATATTAATTTCTTTCTCACCTGATAAAAGGAGTGAAAACTCCTTTCACCTTGCTGTTGCAGAACAACCCTAGACTTCTCTAAGAGGTAGTTCTGGACGTGGCCACCAACTGGGTCACCCTTGAAATCAAAGTTGATGTCCATGTATTTGCCAAATCGGGAAGAATTGTCATTTCTGTTAGTTTTGGCATTACCAAATGCTTCAAGGATGGAGTTGGACTGCAGGAGGACATTCTTCACTCTAATAAGTTATAAAAAAAATATTAAAATACAAGTGGCCAGATTACTTAAATAATATATTGTAAAATACAGAAATGTAATACCCCTTCATTTTAATAAACTTAATTCTCAATATGTAATGGTGAGTACTCACTTATACAGTTTTATACGTAATCATTAAAAAGTACCTTAGCGAACATTTTTCTTTTTTTTTTTTTTTTTTGCTAACATTAGTAAGCATGTGGAACTTAGACTGTGCTCAGATGCACTGAATCAAATTGACAACATATGCAGGTAATTAAAATTTCAATGCATGCATGCCAAAGGAATAACTGGAAAAGTGGCCAGATGGATCTGTAAATTTCTAACCAACAGAACAAGGTACAGTATTTGCCCCCATCCTGTGTCTCATCCTCATATCACACAAGAGATGTAATTCATAGCACTGTGTTGTCCTTTCCAGACGATACAAGAATCTGGAGTGTTATCCACTGAGGACAATGTAAATATCAAAGCAGACATAAACCAAGTTCTCCAATGGGCCACAGAAAACATGATGTTCAATGAGGCTAAATTTCAGTTACTCCAGTATTGAAAACGTGAGTACACAAACTAACCCCAGAAGGGGTTAGAATTTGGGACTTGGGAGTGATAATGTCAGAAGATCTTACCTTCAAGGATCACCTCTGCAAGAAAAATGCTAGGATGGATAATGAGAACTTTCAAAACAAGAGATGCCAAGCCAATGATGATCCTCTTTTAAGTCACTTGTTCTCTTTAGGCTGGAATACTGCTATTCAAGGCAGGTGAAACTGCAGATCTAGAGAATGTACAGAGAACCTTCACTGCACTTATTAGTTCAGTCAAGTACCTTAATTACTGGGAACATTTGAAGTCCTTGACCTGTACTCCCAGGAACACAGGTGAGAAGTATATGTACATCATAATCTACACCAGGGAAATAATAAAGAGTGACCCCAAATCTGCACTCAGAAATCAATCTCTACAAAAGCATGACTAGGCAGACGTTGCAACATATCCCCAATGAAAATCAGGGGCACCATGAGTACATTAGAAAACACAAGAAGTGTCCGGGGCTCAAGACTGTTCAACAGCCTCCCGTCATACGTAAGGGGAATTACCAACAGATTCTTGGTTATCTTCAAGAGGGAAACGTACAGATACCTAAAGTCAGTTTTCAATCAGCAGGGCGGTGACTCATAAGTTATACTGCATGCAGCCTGGTTGATCAGACCCTGATCCACCGGAGGCCTGGTCAAGAACTAGGCCTCTGGTTGACCAGGCTGTGGGGGGCATTCACCCTTGAATAACCTCCAGGTAGGTAGCCACGTCCAACTCGTCTTGGGTCAGCCTACACTTAGTGGGTGTTGCAATTCCAACTACGTATTCTCAGAAACAATGTAGTTTTATTTAGAGTGTCAAGATGCTATTGCAATAATGTATTGTTCCTATATGTACGTATTTTTTGGTATACAAGGCACTTCATATCACCCCTCTGTTCTCTAAATATAATTTTTGTTGCCATGCTCTGTGATGGAGATATCGTCATAGAAATACCACATATCTTGTGTATGGAATAGGCTCTCTTTAGTGATGGCAATTTCCAAATACAGTTATTCCAAATGAGCTGGAAAAAACCCTTGAAGCTCCCGTAGCTGCTGAACCTTTAGTAGAATACTTGATTTATCACTGACCTACTGATTTCCCCAGTTTAAGCAAACATATTTCATCACTATTTATGTGACCCATCCCGCATACCTTTGATACACCTTTGAAGAATTTCGAGAGTATATCTACTCTCTGAGCCCGGCCATAGGCCAGGCTCGTCTGGTGCTAGCCTGGTCAACCAGGCTGTTGCTGCTGGAGGCCCGCTGCCCCACATATCCAACACAGCCTGGTTGATCTGGCACCTGATGAAGATACTTGTCTAGTTTCCTCTTGAAGGCTTCAACACTTGTTCCAGCAGTGCTTCTGATATCTTCTGGTAAGATGTTGAAAAGTCTGGGACCCTGGATGTTGATAGTGTTCCTTTATTGTCCCCACCGCACCCCTGCTCCTCACTGGGTTTATTTTACACTTCCTCCCATATCTCTCACTCCAGTATGTTGTTATGGCAGTGTGCAGATTTGGGACCAAGCCCTCGAGTACCTTCCAGGCATATATTATCATGTACCTCTCTCTCCTCTGCTCCAATGATTACATGTTCAAGACTTGCAGGCGTTCCCAGTAGTTTAGGTGCTTTACTGGCTCAATGTGAGCCGTAAACGATCTCTATATTGGTTCCAGCTCCGATATTTCTCCTGCCCTGAACGGGGCCATCAGCACTGAGCAATATTCTAAGTGAGGGAGCACTAGCGATTTGAAGTGTCACCATCGGCACTGTTTCCCTTGTTTTGAAAGTTCTCAATACCCACGCAGTCATCTTCCTGGCTGTCGTGATCTTTGTCTTGTTATGGTCTTTAAAAGAAAGGTCCGCTGGCATAGTTATTCCTAGGTCTTTTACGTGTTCCTTACGTTCTATTTGGTGACAGCTAACAGCAGCACGCTGTTAATGTATCCAGTTTTACTAAAACGCCTTCCCTTAAATAACAAAAAAGGCACAATACCGTGACTGGAACGATGTGACAGTGTGACTTTGTAAATGGCCCAAGTCGGACCGAAACGTCGTCGTAAGCTTCTCTCTTTTATGTGCGGGTTATTTGTGTAACGCCTTCCCTTGTACCACCATCCCTCCCTTGTACCACCATCCCTCCCTTGCACCATCATCCTTCTCTCCCTCCCTTGCACCATCCTTCTCTCCCTCCCTTGCACCATCATCCTTCTCTCCCTCCCTTGCACCACTATCCTTTCTCCTTCCCCCAAACCCTCCTTGCACCCTCATCATCCTCTCCCCCTCTCTGCACCCTCATCATCGTCTCTCCTTCCTATGCACCCCTTAGCTCTCCCTCTTCCCTTTCCACCCTTATCCCTCTCACTCTCCTTACCCCCATTGACCCTCTTCCTGCTCATTAATGAACCCTTCCCCTGCCAATTTTCCTCTTCCCCCCTGATTCTTTTCCTGCTACTCCAGCAGCAGGAGCAGCACTCACCTCTCCACTTCCTGCTGGCCGGCCACGTTGGTCACAGCAGCGATGTATCTCATAATAATCTTGGAAGCCTCAGTCTTGCCAGAGCCAGACTCGCCGGAGATGACTATGCAGGTGTCCTTGCCGCGCCGCTTCATCGCCTTGTACGACGCATCCGCGATCGCGAAGATGTGCGGAGGTCGCTCGAAAATTTCACGCCCTAAGAAGTAACGTAGGTTAGCAAATACATGAGCAGGCAAGTTATCATCTTCTGGTAGCCTCAAAAATAATGACTGGGAATGGGAGCTGTGAATAGGACCCTCCTTGAATGAGCCAGTAAGCCTACTACACTGTTTATAATAATATAATATCTTTATTTACTACAAGTACATGTACAAGGTATACAGGCCTAGCTGACACCAATGACATTCTACTATGTAGAAAGCCACTTGTTATGCAGAGCATTTCGGGCAAATTAGGTCAGTTTTGTCCCAGGATGCAACCCACACCAGTCGACTAACACCCAGGTACCCATTTTAGCGATGGGTGAGACTCTCTGATCACGGGTTCTAACCCTACCCGTGGTATGGTTTGTTTGCAATCGTGTCATTATGATTTCAGGAGTCACGTGAACATAGACAACTGGCGTAAGGAAACATATCCGATGTTTCCTCCCCTTTGCCGGGAATCGAACCCGAACCCCTCACCGTGTGAAGCAAGAGCTTTTGCCACCAGGCCATGGGGCACCGTTTTCCCTATTTACATGTAAGTTATATAATTTATTATCAACCTACACCTATCCTGAAGGGTCACCCCATACCAAGCCTATGTTGTCTCCAGAAAATATACACACTTTCTCATAAGTACTTTGGCTTTTTTTTATCTAATATTATATAGGTAATATTATATAGGTAATGTGATACTCCAATACTGAAACTATGTATAGTGCCAAAACAAAAGCATTCACATTGCTAAACTCACAAACTAGTATTTAGTCACTTAGCCATAATACCAACTTACCTCATAATTTTGTAATATTTTAAACTTAAGATTTAATTTAAGTCTGCCCGAAATGCCTAGCCATGCTAGGTGTTCTAGTGGTACACTCTGTAATTATTATTTTACTACATGTAAACCACACAATAACCAAATTCTGTAAACTCAGCATTGTAATCCTTATAGAGAATAAACTTTGAATTGAATTGAATTAAATAGCTACGACGAAATATGCTTAGTATATTATTACACACTACGCTTTCTGTGCTGGCAGATTCGAGGTCTGATTGACTGCCCTGCGCTGCTATACGCCTGTTCGCTACTTGGACAATTCTGATGCATTCTGGGGACGTGTGGCAAGCTGGGAGAGAATCTCGACTCATGCTTGTCGCTCGCTCTCGCTGGACATCGCCGTGGAAAGACCTCTGCTCTTTCCTCTGTGAGAACTGGTCGTCTCTACTCTTGTCATGTAGTTTCAGTTTTGTGGAAGAGTATGATCTTGTTGATATCAGTCATACTTCTTGTTGAGCATAGTTTGTTAATGTACATAATTAATATTTAATGTACATAATGGTTAAAGATGCTATGTGGTGTAAGACGAGACTAATTCCAGCATCATTAATTTTTAGTGTAAATATTGTTAGCCCTGGATATCATTTTTGGTTCATTAAAAAGTGCTTAAAATTTTCACTACTAGTATTTGTTCTCCAATTTATATATTAAAGCCCTACTTAATAAATCTGCTCTCTGATGTAAGTGGCGCTGCTGCCATGGGCTAAAGTGTACTGATAAATCTGTTACAAACTAGAAATCGGCTAGATGCTAGAAAAGTATGGATAGATTGACCTAGTATTTTCTGAAAGATATCTATAACAACTGAAATCATAACATTTGTAACACCCCCATACCAATCCTGTGGGCGATAGTCATCCCCATACCCATCTTTTGGAAGTCACTGAGTACCCATGCAAGGGTGGTAACCATCTAACACTCATCCCGTATGCTGTAGTATTCTCATATTCATCCTGTGAGCGGCACTCAAAATGTATCTCCAGTCACAATTAAATAACCACCTGAGTTATGTTATCCTTCATTACTAATTTACTGCTTGTCTTGTTGGCTGAAATGACAGCGGGAAGTGGATTACAAGCGGTATGCAGTGTGTAACTTGCACCATACATCAACTATATATTTTTTATTCTGTTTGAAACCCTATCCGAAGGATGGACACAACAATAAATTAAAACAATTCTTTCCTGCAACTTACCTTTGTACTGGTTAACATAGTCTTTGCCATAGAAAGTGACGGGTCTGTACGGGTTGACAGACACACACACCTCCCCGATGTACGTGTAGATTTTCCCCCCATTGAACCTGAAACACAAAGTAGCACTGCTATCTTTACGCCATAACAACTGCAATGATAACCAGTCACTCGCTGAGGATCAATGATTTTTCTATACACAATCCTAGTGAACACAACATAGCATAATTTTTCTATACGTAAAATAATAATGGCAAAAATAATCAACTGTTAATCTCTGAAATCAGTAAGTATCCCAAACAGGAGGCTGGTCTGTGACTGAGTGCTAAAGACAGACGCCATAACCCACGAATCAACTACGTGAATGATGGGTGAACGAGGTTTGGAAAAAAAAATGCGAACACTAGGGCATCTTATTAATAAGTTTTTGGTTCCGGAACATTGGAGTGACCAAGATCCCAGGATCAGAAAGTTGCCGGTAAAATGTCCTAAGTGTTTTCAATCATTTTTTTCTTTTGAAATGTCTGTCGGTATCAAGTACTTTTATTACCTGAAAGATTAAAAAAAAAAAAGGTCCTGATAATGTTGTCATAACAGACAAATAAAAAATAAAATATTTTCATATGACTCAAGACCAATCCACAATTTGGAAAGGAAACTTGAGACAATATTTTAATCGTTCATAACTTGACAATAGTTCAGTAATGACCAAAGTGTACTATAGTTTCCCCAATATTGCGAATTAGTTATGAACTGTTGCATCCAATGATCAGTCTACACTCGTCACTAAGTCAAAAACTGTTCTCTTAAACCCACTCAAAGTAGTCAAGCCATTTAATCTTAGTTCTCTTCCTGCCTACCTGACAACCTTGTTTCACTACTATCCAACCCGCCTCTCCAGTATTGCCATCCCTCTTATGGCTTAACAATAAATAATCATCTTTTAAACCTCAACGATGTAAAATTTAATGAAATTTACGATTCATTATGTTATTTATTCGTTATTAATGCTTTCATAATTAACAGTAAGAACTTACACTGCATACCTGTGACCTGACCTCGGAAAAAACGGCAGATTTAAACTGCTTTTAAAACAGCCATTATGAAAGTGGACCGCGTTTTGTTACACGCACTTGTGCAAGTAATCGTTAACACACAGCGGCAGCCGCCCGCCCCATGACAACACAAGACATGAACCGACCATCGAATCACTCGATACCCAAACTCGATACCCACACATGAAACTTGCAGGCTGAGTGCGGCCACCGCGTGATACACCTCTACCCACCTTACCAAGTCCTGCTGGTAGCCCTAACATCACACTGTCGAGGCCTGCAATCTCTTATGGTTTCAGGGATGACCGCCCCCGCGGCCCGCTCTCAACACCAGGTCTCATCAACCAAAAAGAAAATCTTACAGAAATAACAACTATTAAGATGTACACAGTAAGGTAAGGATATGGATGTACTAAAAAAAATGAATTTTTAATTTTTACTCGTCATCTCACATGATCATGGGACAAGAGGAGCAGCAGTTCTATCAGAGTGCAAAATATTTAGCGAAGGATGCCTACCCGGAGTTTACCTGGAGAGTATTTCAAGGGTTAATGCTCCCGCGACGCTGTCCCAAACCAGGCCTTACCATGAACATTAATTATACAAACACTAACATTACAACTAACATGAACATTAATAATACAAATAAGAGTAACACTGACAACAAAAATAATAATGCAAAGCCTGTAGCTAATCATAAAAGTGCTACAAAAACATTACAAAAATTGAGGAGGTCAGTTGTTGAAGTCAAGTGATATCTGGTGTAGACGACTTTTTGCTAGTATCTTGCTAATAAACCGGAAATGCTGCAACCATGTCAGAAAAAGTGCAAGTATCTGGCAACACAAGACAACTTGTGTCACACATTATGTAAGATCAGTCGAAGAGTGATGGACATCACTCGTCAGATTAGCATGACGAGAACTGACACACTGGGCACTGTCCAATGGTAATGATAACCAAGATGGCACCCAATGATTTATTTTATGTTTGATCCCCTGAAAACACTCCTTTGAAAAAACACGAACGATATAATTAAAAGAATTTCATATTCATGAAGGCTCCAAGGCAGCGGCAGCAGCAATAGTAGTTAGTCGTACCTTACCTTCGATGAGTTTCGAGTCTTACTACTCCCGGAGCCTGGCCAGGCCAGCAGCACCAACACCAACTACTACTACTAAATGTATTTAGGTCGCTGCGCGATCCAAGAAAATATGGAAAAATCGGTGTACATCACATACTGTTTAGATTTCCCAACGCCCCCGTAACTCTGTCATAGTGCAACAACAGCTGTGACAAGCACGATCTTCCCGCTCTAAATCCATGCTGATTTGGGTTGGGCAGGTTTTTCTGCTCCATAAAGTTTGTAATTTAGCATCTCATCACTCTTTCGAAGGCGTTGATGATGTAATATATTAGAACGACTGGTTCGTAAATTTTCTGCTTCCTTCGAATGTTTCTGGAATTTCACCTGGATCTAAGCTCTTTCTCCAAAGGTTATACAGAGTGATCGTGCCAGTGGTATTTTACACTTCTTTACAAATAAATTCCATTAACCCAGTCATAAACCAATTTGTTTAACTAAATTGGTACACTGGGACAGACAGCCCAGTAGCACTGCGAAACTTCCTTTGAGGAAAAAAATACACCAGGACTAAAAGTTTGAAGCCGATCAGATGAGACATTTCAAGCAATATACACACACATTGAACGTTTTAGATTAGAAGAGGCTTTCTCAAGTTATCAAACAAAAACTTTTGTGCTATTTAAAGGTATAAAATCTGAAAAGTGACATCTACATATTCCAAATCTAATCCACAATTTTATGCACATGTAGGCCATATTTTTTATTTCAGTGGGTACTTATTTCACATCTGTTAGGCACCATTATCTGAACAATTAATGATTCTCTATTGTGTTTTGTTATTTTTATCAGTAAATATAGAAAACAAACACTGGTTGTTTTCGTCACTCCTGTAATGATATTTTACAAGTCCCGGCAAGGACTTGCTGAGTTAAACCAAGAATTCAGTTATCTTTACGCTACAACCGTTGCAAGATGCACTGCAGGTGCACTGCACGAGGCTTGACAATATAACAGATAATTTCTTTATTCACCCCAGGGGTAAATGGACCGTCCAAGTGGGCCTTACTAGAACTGTCCTGCACCAGAAATTGATGGAAACAGTATTCATTCTTTTCTCTATTATGCTACATATCCATACAGGTTTTGATCATGTAAACCCAACAATGTAACCTTCCCCCCCCCTCTCAGGAGACCTCGGTCGTAACTCACTTGTCACCCTTCCAGATTGACAGGGTAGGAGGGCTCCCAAACAACAGCTGACACACACTGGCTAAACTTTTACAGCGTGGTAACAAAAAAAAAAAAAATCCGTCAATCTCACCAGATATATAGGTTATCCTTGGGGGAGGGGGGTTATGTACCTAATAAAATAATAAAACAAATAATAAAGACGCATGTAGTCTTTTACTTACACTGTGTCAGTATTTTATACCTGTACTAAATAATAATAATAATAATAATAATAATAATAATAATAATAATAATAATAATAATAGAATTATTTGTAATACTTTTGTAAAATTAAACTTGAAAAGACACCATACATTATTGTGCCAACTTGCAGAAAGAGCACTAATATTCTACTCACACACAGTTGACCATCCTCAGTTGGTTTAGAAAGACCGTGAGCCAACACTGACATATTTATTAGAAAACGTTTCGGTCCTGGGACCTTGATCACTTCTAACTTCACGTTTTCTAATAAATATGTCATAGTGTTTGCTCATGTGTCTTTCTAAACCAACTTGTCGGTATTTATTACCAAGGTTTATACCACCATCCTCAGTGTTGTCAACTCTCTAACATGATCAGTTGTCCCAGCGTCTACAGTGTCGCTCCTCTCAAAATAGCCTTGAAGCAAAAAACAGCAACTATTATCCCCTTCCTCGGATTAGACCTGATTATCTCCCTTACCCCTGGCCCTGTAAGATCCTTACGGGTTGACAGTTTTCCCATACTACTACTACTAATAGTAATAATAATAATAATGCTAATAATAACAATAATAAGTGTGACTAAAAATTCTGACTGATCATCTTTAGAGAGGTGGATTATTATAGTTTAAAATGTAAGATTTTTTAAAGGAAGTTGAACTTTGGTTATGAACTTAGCAACATGTGCACACACAAGCAGAAGCACTCAGTCTAAGGATTTAATTCAAGTTTTGCAGGACAAGTTTTTTTTTACTGTGCACTGAAAGGAGCCCCTGCAACGGTAGGCTGCATGGATGGTGGTCAGCACTTATAATTGACAATATGAAACATGTGAAGTAGAGACTTTTATTATTAGGTAACATGCAGCTATGATACACACACACACATATCCAGTTAAATCGAAGCTTTAGTGACGACGTTTCTCTCACAGTGACGTCCGGCGCCACAGAAAGCGAAACATCCTCAATAGTTTCCATATCACTCGCGATGTGTGTCGTATCCTGCCAGTAGCCTGACACCTTTGAAACCGAACGTTTCATCATAAAAAGATGGCTATTTATTTTTAGGTCGAAAGGTTATCTAATGAAAAGCCTCGCTCCGCTACAGACGGTTCACACGACTATCAGTAGTCTGCCGACTACTGGTATTCACTACACAAATTCATGGCTTACTAGGTCACCACCGCATTACTCGCGAAATCTTAACGACACGACTGTGAACAACTTGCCGAACTGCCAGCTAATTTCAGGACTGGTTTGCCATGGCTTCGAACTCTCCGCTGCCGAGTACCAGCTCATCTATCAGGAGACTTGAGATACAAAAATTCTTACTTCTAAACATGTCATGAATACTGTAAATAAATTCAACTCGATTCAAGCTTCAGCCTCGTAACTCAGGACTCTTGAGGCAATTTCTGAAGGACGCTGAAGCCTATTGTAAAGTTCACACCTTACACTATCACGTTAGGTATCTCAGTCAAGGTTGCTAGACCTGATGACAGAGTCCAAGGAAGATCCTCAGTGCTCCGGAGGGAG